CAGAAAGACTCGATGTTTGAGGACTTGACTCACCAGTGCTGAAGGAGCCACGTAGAAAACATGAGAAGGAATATGGGGAACTCTGAGTGGAGGCTGTCCTACCTACATGCCTGCCAGCTGACAGCTAGCGAGAAAACAGGTACTTCAGTTCTCACAACTGCAACTTGGGTGCAGAGTCTTTCCGGAGCACCCACTAAGGAATACTGCCCTGGTGACACGATTGTTTCAGTCTTATGAGGCCTCGAACAGAGGACCCCCCTGAGTCTTTTTCAATTTCTTACCTATAGAAACTACGAGATGAGAAATGTTTGTAGTTTAAAGCACTGAGTTTGTGGTAATGTGTTATGTAGAAATAGTAAACTAATACACCTTTTGTCAAATCGTCTAGAGAAAATGATTCTAAAAGCAGCGCCCCTGGAGGTCCCTGAGACCCTGTCAAAAAGTTTGTAAAGTAGAAATGATTTTCACATCAGGACTAAGACATTATTTGCCTTTTCCACTGTACTGACATTCGCACCTGCGCAGAAGCAATGGCGGGTAAAACTATTGGAGCCCTAGCTCCCATCAAGAAAGTGGCCCCATACCGTATCAGTGTTCACTGCATTAGTCACGTGGTTTCACTTGAGAATGTTCCTGATGCAGCAGAAAAATTATTAACTGTATTACGTCTTGACAGTTGAGTCCGTGTCTTTCTTAAATGCTGGGTGATGAATTACAAAGCACCCACAAAGTGCTTTTGCTGCACTTTAACCTAAAATGGTTGCCTCAAGGAAAAGCGTGTGTGCCATTATAAGCTGATCTAGCCGCTCTTCTCCTACAGAAAATCGTTTTTACTTGAAAAAAAGATGGACAGATAAACCAGAATTATTCAGACTCGGGAGATATTTTCTTAAAAATGAATGAAGTCCCGCTGATTACCCTCTTCATCTTGAGCTGTAGTTGAGTTATAAAACCAGCACACTGTGCCCCGTGAATGCATTAGTGCGCACAGCTATGATTTAATAAAAAAACGAATGAAGTGAGCCTGTCACTTGAAGAAAAACAACTGATAGATAGTATGTGTTGCCTCTGATAACATTTGCGCTTTCTAGCAAAGAATAGAATTTTGAGAAACCTGAATCTGCCATCATAATTTGATAGATTCTCAATACTTCCAGACTGTCTGGCAAGATCAATAGTGATACTGTATAGAAATAAAACATATTTTTTTGGTATTATAAAATAAACTGTGCATTTGAAACATCTGAAAAATTGAGTGGATCGTTAGTTTCCAAATGAACAATGATGATGTTACAAAATTGTGCATGTGAAAAAGACTCATTGAAAATGTCAGGAAAGTTTTATTAATATGATGTCCTATTCTACATTGCAACTAACATTTAAAAAACAACCACTTGTTGAGTTTGGGTATAATAAAAAGAATAACATGCACAATTATCTGAAAAAAGCTAAAAGTAGCCTTCCCCTTTCCAACTACATATCCACGTGAAGCCAGATTTCCGACATTGTACTTCACTAGAAACATTTCATAAGAGGTTGAATGAAAGAGCTGTTATGAGAATCAAGCCGTTTTTTATTAATCAAGACACTAAAGATTTGTCAAATGATAAAACAATGCTGTTCTTCTGACTAGTTTTTGGTTTTGAAGATAAGAGTTTTTATGAAAATATTATTTTATGTTAACACCGAATGGGTCTATTATTGTTATTTAAATAAATTGATGAACACAGTACATTTTACAATTTCTAATACAACAAATGTTGAGAGACATAAACTACAGAAACAAAAGCTCTTTAGGGTCCTCAAGAAGTTTAAAGAGTGTACATTATCTATTGAGGCACAGAGGAGGGCAGCTATACCTGGATATAACTCAATGGTTCCAAATGTGCACTCCAGAACCAACTTAAGCCCACAGGTATTTTTCATTTGATTTGTGCAGTTTAATCCTTATAGTGTTTAAAACAATTGTTGAGTTTTGAATGGGTTTTCAATATTTACTGGTTGGTAGGTTTTATGTAAAACCCCAGGTTTTTCAATTCTCTTGGAAAACTGATGGACTGGCATTGGTTCCACATTCTGGAGCTGCTTAGCAGCTGCCTTCTCTGACCACAGCCTTTCCACTCTTTTCTATTTTTGACACAGGGTATCACTCTGTTGGCTGGAGTGCAATGGCATGATCACAACTCACTGCAACCTTGAATTCCTGAGCTCAAGGGATCCTCCTACTCCAGCCAAATAGCTAGAACTAGAGGTGCCAGTGCACCTGGCTAATGTTTTATTTTTGTAGAGATGTGGAGTCACTATGTTGTCCAGGCTGGTCTCAAACTCCTTGGCTCAAGTTAACTTCCTGCATTGGCCTCTCAAAGTACTGTGATTGTAGGCACAACATATTCCACCTGGCCTAACTCTGCTCTTTATGTCCCTATCCTTCCTCATTTATTCACGTGGCTAGCTTAGCTCCTAGAAGCCTCTGTATTTGTAACATTCTATTTAAATCATCTCTTTGGTGGCCAGAAGTCTTTGAAAAGGCCTAGTGGTAGACTGAGAATCTTCTACTGTGCCCAGGGGAAGTTGTATATCACCAGACAAAAAGAATCCACAATGAAGAAGCTGGGATCATCAGATGAGACGAATATTTCTGAATTTGGGGCACAGGTCTTTTTAAAATTTCTTTCAAATTTCCTAATAATCTGCTGCATTGTATGGCAATTGAATGAGTATAGTGCAAAGAGGCTATAGATGAAAATGGGGATTACACAATGAGTTCGGATTTAGGGGCCAGACACAATGAGTTCAGGTTTATCTTTATAGCCTGGCTTAGACTTTGATAGCTGTGTGATTTTGGCAAGTTCCCTAACCTCTCTGTGTTTCATTTCCTCATCTGCAAAGTGAGACTAATAGTAATTCTTACTTCCTTGTGATGGTGCATGATGCCACCTTTAAGAGGGCAGAGGCCAGCCAGGGTGAGTACACTTTCCAAGAGTTTAAGGCAGAGGTGTGACTAAGAGGAGTGATTAAGTGAGATAGTACATGATATGCATTTGGAACAGTACCTGGCACACAGTAACCCTTTTTTATAAACTGAATATTTTTGTCTCTCCAAAATTTATATGTTAAACCTCTAACCCCCAATATGATGGTAATAGAAGGTAAGGACATTTGATGATAATTAGGTTTAGATGAGGTCATGAGAATGGGTTTCCATTATGGGATTAGTGTTGCCACCTGGGATGGAGCTGCAGCACTAGATGGGGAGTTCCCCAAGCAGACACTTTACCCGATTGCCAGTGGTCTGGCAGATCAAGGGAGGGAAGATGCGATTAATTCACATACATAGTTTCTTTCTAGTGACCTGGGGAGACAACACAGTATCCAAGGTGCTGTCTGGAGGCGATTCTCAAAGTCTTTTTATTGGGGTTTTGGGGGCCACATATACAAAATAAAAAAGTGAGAGGTATCAGTCTCATGTTACAATTAAAAAGGCAGCCTTTTGTTCAAGAAAGAGAGCTCTCAGGGTGAAGGACAATGGAGCACTAAACTACAGATCAAAAGACACTATATTAGAGTTTTAATGAGGAAAATTACAGTCCACAGGTTAGATAGCTACTGCTTGAGGGTAATTGTCAGTTCCTTTTTAGCTTTATTTATTCTATCTCTAAGCTGCTGATTTCCATTTAGACATTTCCTAGACTAGCTTCTCATCTACTCTGCTGGACATGCCGACCCCCTGCCCCACCTTGCCACCATAGGCTTGCAGAGCAGCTGAGGTAGGGTGACCAGATTTTAACATCGGTAAGGCGGGACAACATGGCCAGGGGGTGGGGGCGGGGTGGGGCAGGGGACAGGGCAGGGCAGGGCCTGACAACAATGCAAACTTTGATAAGCAGTTCTCGATAATCACTTCTCAGCAATTATTTGTTATTATTACAGTTTAACATTATAAAATTAACAAAAATAATGTAAAGCTCATATTCTGGAGAAATAGCCACATGGCAGCTGAAAACCATATATTCCCTTCCTGTTCTCCCGCCCGTTCATGCATTCTTTCCAAAAATCGGGACTTTTTTAAAACACTGAGGGACGTGGGACAAAATGTTGGAAAGCGGGACTGTCCCGCCAAAAGCGGGACGTCTGGTCACTCTAAGCTGAGGGGCCTCAGCCCTGGGCCTTTCCCACTTGAGACCTCTGGAATGCCAACCTACACTAGCTTATATCCACAGATTGGTGCCTTTCTAAGAAGAGATCAGAAAGCTTGCACTCTCTACAGTGTGAGGACACAACAAGAAGATAGCTGTCTGCATGCCAGGGAGAGAGCCCTCACCAGGAACCGATTTGTCTGGTATCTTGATTTTGGACTTAACAGACCCCAGAACTGTGAGAAATAAATTTCTATTGCTTAAGCCCCCCAGTTTATGGTATTTTGTTATAGCAACATGAATTAAGACACCCTTTAATAATTGTGGCATATTATTTTTATTATTCTTTTTAGCTGAACTTGAGTCTTGCTATGAAAAGGAAAGTAAACTGCTCTTTAGGGCAAGCTGAATCTCTGTCCACATCACCCCATCTCACAGAACCAAGGGATCCTGACAGATAGAGATCCCAGAAGATACTTGAGAATGACATGATGCGTCATTTGGATTGATAGCCACAAACACTTCCTGTTAAATCTACAATGGATTAAATATTGACCACTGGGCACATTAACAAGCCTATTCACATTATCATTCATTCAATTAGTCATCTATGTTTATTAAACATCTATTGAGTTCTTCTTAGGTTCTAGGTACATAGACATGGAAGTTCTTGTTCTGGTTTGGGGTTAGAACAACCACCAGTTCTATGATATGGTACCTAAATAGTTTAATTCTTTGTCTGTTAGAAGCAATGATCCATGTGTTTCCATGCATGAGCTATTCCCAGTCTGAGGCTATGGTACCCACATGAAATAAATCACTGTGAGAAAATTGCCTTGAAAGAGAAACAAGACCACAATGAGAAAAAATGCTGTAAGTAACCAATTTATTCATAAAACAATACAGTTTAGGTATTTATTGTTTTTTCAGTCATACATTTTTGCCATCATTCCCAAAATGTTGTGCATTTGGTTGACTTGTATTTGCAAGATAAGGATCTATAATTATAACTCTGGAAATCATACAAGGCATTTGATTTGTTTGTTAATACTGCTTCCCCCAACAGATAGACAACAAATAGATTTATTTTTCATTGTGATTTACTTCCCCACTTTGTTGTGTCTTTTATGCTTACAAGCACTTGTCTGTTTCCCTGTGAGATCATACAAGTGAAACATTCCTTCTTTTGGTTCAAGACTAGCCAGCTTATATGTGTTTTCAAACAAAATTCTTCCACCTAAAGCAAGGATTCCAGGCATTTCTGCTTATAAAGTTGGCTCTCAAGAGCAATTACAAAAAGGCAAAAAGCAGCCCCACACTAAGCTCAGAGGTCAGCTTGGTGGACCAGCTGTGGGGAACTGTACTGCATGGCCATTTGCTGTGGACAGGTTTTCATTGTCATGGTCCCAATGAAGACTCTTTGAGATATTTGGGGTTGACAAAAGATGGAACCAACCATGTGATGGTCTGTGATGCCACCTTTAAGAGGGCAGGGGCTGGCCAGGGTGAGCACTCCCTCATCTAATTTAAGGAAGAGGTGTGATTATAAAGCAGTGAGACTGATTTGGGGTGTGCAGCTTCTGGAATCAGTCTCATTACTTTCTACTCTCACCTCTGAGACAGGCAGGACCTTTATGCTACGGGCAGGGAAGAGATGCCATTCTCAAGCAGAGTAGGAGCTGCCCTGTTTCAGATGGTCTCTATTATGAAACTCTAAAGTTAGAACCTCCCTACTCTTAGTGCAGTAGAAAGCCTGAATTAGCATCACCTGGGACCTCATTAGAGATGTAAAATCTTGGGCCCCACATAAACCTACCACATCAAAATCTGAATTTTAATAAGACTCTCAGGTGATTTTTGTGCACAGTAAAGTATGAGGTGCTGGGTCACATGCCCCAGACCTGTTTCCAAAAGAAGACCTCTAGGTGGATAAACTTCTTCTTTAGTAAAGAGACCAGTCTAAGCAGGGAGGAATTATAGATAATAACTGCAAAAACAGTGTGAGGTTTTTTTTTTTTATTTTAAACATGCAAAATACAGTCCATGCATCTGCCATTTTGAAAAGTCTCTCTTCCTGTAGCAGATAAAACCAAGTGTGTTTTGGCTATCAACGTTCAATATTGTTTCAAAATGCTTTACAGTGTAAAGATAATAAGAAATTTAGCAAAATTTCAACAAACCTGTATAAAAAACGGATACAGATACCATTTTATTTCAAGGTGCCATGCTGTAATGTAAAGAGTAAGTTGTTATTATTTGCATCTCTTTGTAAAAAGTCTTTGACAATACAAGGGCTTAACAGATCCAGGCCCTGGGGCTACACATGCAAAAATAATTGTCAGTTAGTTAAAAATCACCAAAACGTGCTATTTTTAAATGTGTATTTTCTTTTTAAGTATGGGAGTAGTAGAAGTATTAAATATTAGCAGGAATAGTATTTCAGAACTTCATAAAAGTGTATGGAGTTCATGGAGCTAGTGTCCTGGAAGACTCATACATTTCTGATGAACATTTTGGTTTAATCCCCTTGCCATTGTAATAGTCCACGACTTGGTTTGGGACTTCAGCCAACACACTCTTTGCCAGGGCAGCTGGAGATGCCTGCAGGAAGAAAGAAATCACCATGACTCTGGCTCCCAATCAAAGGAATCTGATCCAAATTCTGCCTCAAGGATTTGAGGTCTCTGAGAAGCTAAATCTCATTCATTATTTGTTGAGGATCTAGTTCAAGCAGGGCTTGTCAGATTGGTAGAAAATGGACCTTTAATTTCATCTTTACATTATGTATGCCTCTCTCAATATATAAAACTATTCACATCTAAAGATGAGTAAAAGTTGATGACAGAATGGGTTGTCCTGCAGTTTTGTTTGTCATTTGCATATAGTTTTAGACACTTATTTATGTTCCAGGCACTAAGCTAGGTTTTATGGGTCTATGGTTCTTGCCATCAGGAAGGTTGTAATTAGGTGAGGGGAGCTCTGCATGGCCAATATTAACCTACCTAGAGGTCTGTAAATGTACCTAGAACCTGGTACATTTACAGACTAGGAGCTTCACATCACATGGGTGCTTTTTAGCAATGTAGACTCTTAGACCCAACTGAGATCTACTGAATCAGAATCTGCATTTTAACATGATGCCCTTATGATTCTTATGCATATTAACATTTGAGAAGTACTGATCTAGAGAGTCATGAACACTGTGACCAGTGTATAGGAAACAAAGTTATCATGGAGGCTTCCAAGAGAAGGTGGCATTTAAACTGATATATATTTAAAATATAGAGGAGGTGGCATCTAAGTTGGGTATATTTTAAAAACATAGAGAAGGGGTAGGAGAAATGGCATTTGATCCTTCTAGGGACAATGAGTCATCTGATGAGTCTGAAGGAAGTGTGTGTATGTGGGGGGGGGAGTGCATTGGGGATGCAGGTTTGGGGCATTCAGCTGGAAAATGAACTTGAGGTCAGGTGATGAAGAGTCTTGAATATGACTGTAATTAATTTAGCCTCTAGTCTACCAGCATTATGGAGATGCCGCATTATTTGGGGGCAGAGGCACAGGACCATGTGTTCTATGGTGATGACTCTACAGTCGAGAAAGGTTGAGGTTGATCTCACACACAGCTGGATTTGACACCTGGTTCTAGCATTTAGTACTAATGGCATAAGTCCTGGGCAAGTAACTTCAACTTCTTGAGCCTCATCATTGGCTATTATTGAAAAGGTTGAAAACTTGAGGAAGAGTGATTAGTTAACAAGCTAAGATTTCAAAGGAAAGAGGGCTGGATTCAATGCCAGGTGACCTGGTTTCTAGTTCTTTCTTTTCTATGTAACTTGCCATTCAACTATTCAGTTTTCCTAAGTCCTAATGTTCTCCAAGGTGAAATAGAAAAGAATAAGAATTCCTTCTATCTAAGAGTCTAAAAATGAGATGTATATCTTTAAACAACTTGAAACATTGTTTTTCAGATTTCAGAGTTTTTCTAAAGTGATCCCTCACATTTTAAAGATGCCATAGTATGCTGGATGTTTGGGATCCACAGAAGCCCTTCTATTTTATATATTTATTTTATTTTATTTATTTATTTTTTCAAGACAGAGTCTCAGGCTGTTGCCCTGGATAGAGTGCGGTGAAATCATAGCTCACGGCAACCTCCAACTCTTGGGAACTCTCAAGAGATCCTCTTACCTCAATTTTTTTTCTATTTTAGTAGAGACAGGGTCTTGTTTTCACTGAGGCTGGTCTCAAACTTATGAGCTCAAGCAATCCACCTGCCTTGGCCTCCCAGAGTGCTAGGATTACAGGTATGAGCCACCACACCCAGACTTATTTATTTATTTTAATTAATTATTTAAATTTTAGATTAATATGAGGGTAAAAATGTTTAGGTTACAACTGTTTTCATTTCTAAGGTAAAGTTCAAGTTGTAGTTGACCCCTTCACCTAGGAGGCACGCTGACACCCTCACATTGTGCACATTAGATGAGATCCCACCAAACGCCCTCACCCCTTTTATTTTTATAAATAACTGCTCAGGGTTGTGTGTTAGAGCATGGTCCATGTGTACACTGGGGTAGATACAAAAATCATTTTCACCCTTTTCTGTCTGGTCATTTCTCATATAAAGTTTAGAAAATCAAATACTTGATTTCCCAGCCCCCCTTGCATACAGGGATGGCCACGTGAGCCAATTTAATCCTTTGAAATATAAATGGAAGTTTTCTGGGGGATGGTGTTCAGAAAGCTTTTCTTTCCTAGTTATAGGGACAGGTGTGGTTGGCTCTGTTTTCCTTTCCCCTTTTTCTTTCTTGTACTAAATACTGAAGTGATGGCAATCATTTTAACATCATGTAGGAACGGTCAGGGAAATTACATAGTGCTGGCCCTGACACTACTGAATCGCAGATGCAGCAACCACCAGCCTCTAACTTCTAGCTGCATAAGAAAAAGACATTCCTATTTGAATAACCCAGGTGTTCTCAACCTTGGCACTATTAGCATTTGAGGCTGGATAATTTTTTGTGGGGCGGGGAAACTGTTCTATGCATTGTGGGATGTTTATCAGCAGCATCCTTGGCTTTACCCAGTAGATGCAAATGTGTGCCACATTTGTCATCAATAAAAGTGTCTCCAGGTATTGCCAAATGTCTCCCGGGGAAAAATGTCACCCCTGATTAAGAACCACTCATGCAATCCATTGTAAGATGGATCTGCTGTTAAATGAAGCCAAAAAATTTTCTAAACAGGGCAGTCAACTAGAACTTTCTGCAAATGATGAAGATATTCGATATTGTGCTAATGTGGAAGTCACTAGCCACATGCAACTATTGAGCCCCTGAAATGAGGCTAGTGTGGTGCAGGAAGTGAGTTTTAAATGCTATCTTATTTTAATAAATTTAATTTAAATAGCCACATGTAGCTAGTGGCTACCATTTTGGATAGCACAGCTCCTAAGTGATCCCCCCACTTCTTTGCTTATCTGTGTTCTTGGAAAGCAAATAAGGCTTTGAGGGCATTAATTGACTGGGAAAAGGCAAAAAAATATGAAAGCAGCTAGTATTAACTGTAACAAAAACTGCATTTATTAACCATCTAGTGGAGTAGGCACTGTACTACATTTTATGCGTATAGATTCCACTTTAATGTTCCAACACATGTATCATTTGCCTCATCGGCATGGAGAGGTTAAATAAACTGCCCAGAGACACATTGTTTAGAGCCTGCTATGTCTTGAATGTGTTCCCTAAATTCATGTGCTGGAAACTGAATCTCCAATGTGACAGCATTGAGAGGTAGGCCCTAATAAGAGGTTATTATCAGGGACCGGGTTAGTTATGTACCTTGCACAGAACAGGCATTCCATGTATGCATAGGAAGAGGCGTGGGGATAGAGGTTAGAACCTTTCATGGTTCGGTGGCACTGTATTAGTAGTACACATGTGCATGAGGTGAGGGGTAGGGAGAGGGTGGTTTGGGGAAATTCATGAATCTCCTAGGGAGTGAACTTTTTGATCAGTTTTCACTTAGGCAAAGTTATGGGTGAGGGTGAATGGTGTGGTTACCTCTTTTGCCTGGCTGACAAAATAGAGCAGGACAAAAACATCTGGAAGAATACCCTTCCCCTCCAACATGGACACCGTGGGTGGTAAGTAGCTTCACTGATGAACATAATTATAGCAAATTTAGCCTGCTTATAAACAATAATACTTCTTTTTAACTCTATACTTTGTTGTCCATACACAGATGAATTGGTGAGATTCTTTAATTTTTAATTTTTTTATTTTAATTATTTTTTTTTTTCTTGAGACAGAGTCTCAAGCTGATGCCCTGGGTAGAGTACTGTGGAGTCACAGCTCACAGCAACTTTGAACTCTAGGGCATAAGCGATTCTCTTGCCTCAGCCTCCCACGTAGCTGGGAATACAGGTGCCTGCTACCTTGCCCAGCTATTTTGTTTGTGGCAGTTGTCATTGTTGTTTTAGCTGGCCTGGGCCAGGTTCGAGCCCTCCAGCCTCAGTGTATATGGTTGACCCCCTACCCACTGAGCTACGAGTGCCACCAGATTCTTTTATTTGAAAATCTCCTTGGAAAAATTGAAGATGGGATATGCCAACACAGTTACTCCTTTCCCCATGCATTGCCCTGAGAGCTTGTTGGGGAAATTGTTGCTGCTATTACTTGGAAACTCTCTCTGTATGCCACTCTGTATCCTGGGGCTGAGTTTCTGCTCCTTTAATGATTTTAGTTATACTGCATCACTCCTTAAAAGTAGAATGGTAATTGTGTGGCCATATAGTTATGAATAATACCTCATCACTCAAGATACCCTAGAACAGTGGTTCTCAACTTTCCTAATGTCTCAATGTATTTTCATCATTACAAAGGGGTCATGACCCACAGGTTGAACCACTGCCCTAGAATACACAGTTACTTCCCTAAGGTCTGGAAGGTCATAAACTCTAGGGTTCAGCTGAGTCTGCTGTGCTGGTGATTTATCTGAATGTTCACAGAAGGTATAAGATCAAACAGCAATTTCTGAGAGCACATGCTAAAGGCTCTGACACTGGCACTAATACCAGGACTACAGGAAGGTAAGTATAGGGGTAGAGGGATGGGTCTTGTGTGTTATGATGCCCCATTCACCTTTCCACCCCTTATTATTACCTTGTACAGGGTAGCTGGGCTCCCAGTGTGAGCCCAAATTGGGATTCAGATGTATTTGGACATATCTAATAAGCTGTCTGTGAAGAACATTGGGATTCATTTGAGCAAGAGTTTCTGACTAGTTTTATAAAGTAAGCATCAGGAGGGAAGTTTGGTGAAGATGGCACGGCATGCCACCTGTCCCTTCCTCTCCTTGGTCTAAAGAGCTGACTTGAGCCCCATGAATGGAGGTGGGCAGTGGAAGCATCTAGTAGGGATCCTTGAGATGTGGGGACACAGACTTCCCTGCATTAATAGCTCAAGTGACAGAGGGTACTCTGCAGCATAGGAAGGAGAGGATTCTCTTCTTTTCCAAAGACTGCAGAGCAGCTCAGGATGCCGAAGATTCTGGAGATTTCCTTCTGTCAGGAAAGCTCAAGTTTATTCACCAGCCCCTGGAAGCAGCATTGTTGGCACCACCAGCAGAGCAGAGGGCAAAGTCTCAGTGGGTTATTTCCTTAGCAGGGGCTGGAGAAATTCTCTGCTCTTGGGCAGTTTTCATCAGGGGTGCAAAACAAAAGAACATAGAGGGCTGTCTATGAATACACATGTTACTCCCACGGACTCCCAGCAGTTGGGGGGCTCTGAAAGTCCTCAGGGCCATCACTAGACCTGAGGAAGCCTTTCATGAATTACAGAAGGTGTCCTTGTGGGTGACTGTAGCTCCATGACAGGTACAGGGTTTGGTGGAAATTTTAAAGGTGTTCCTTCTTCCAGGGTCTTCCTAATTATCTCTCACTTAGAAATATGGAAGCATTATTCCTGAGTACCATTTCTATGTCATGCTGGAGAATTGTCTAATGGGCCTATTTCAAGGCCACCGAGGAATGCAATGCTGACTGACTATTTCTTTTTGGTAAGAGCCCAAGGCTATGAAGGTCGTCGTTGATCTATAGAAAACTGATAGGAGGCAAATGATTTCTGTTCAGTAGAGAAGGTAATTCAAATATTATGAATTTTTTTTTACCCTATTAGTCACTAACCAGTTCTGAATCTATCTTAGACACCTTATTCTGGTCTTCCTCACGGACCATATTTAACTGTCTCCTCTACTCCTTTGAGCTAACTTTGTCATCCTGCTCATGAAGGAGTCAAATCTTTGATGCTGCTGTATTTACAGAGGATTCATTATAGATTTCTATCATTTTGAAAATATGCTTTTCTTTTGCTAGGGTATGTGGTTTGACAAGTGGAACCAAGGGTGAATTTCACTTCTCCTTGCTACTTTGGCCAGGCACACTTGGGCAGGGAACAAGATGCCCAACTGTGAGTGGCACTAAATTATATGGATGACTGCAAGCATCCATAAAATGTAGTATAGCAAAATTTTGGCATGCCTCCTCATCTATAACTCTATTTACGCTTCTTTCTCCAAAGAGTCAAGCTCTCCATGTCCTTGCTATGGGAGAGGGCCTGGCCCAGGAATGGAGGTGGTGTCGCTTCGAGAGTGGAAGGTCACTACAAACACTGGTAGACAAATGAGAGAGGTGAGTGTGCTCTGGTTCTGCTCTCCCACTGGAAGCGCCCCCCGAGATGTAAATGCATACATGTTTGAAGTTCCTGAAGGGCACAAACTGCACGATGTCTCGAAGGACAGGCTCTCCTTTGGGTGACCTCAGAATCCCGTCATCACCATCCAGCATCTGCATGTCACTGAAGTCAGCGTTCCCCACTCCCACGATGATAACCGACATGGGGAGGTGGGAAGCATGGACAATGGCCTCACGGGTGTCCGCCATGTCTGTGATGACACCATCTGTCAGGATCAGCAGGATGAAATATTGCTGCCATCAGAGGCCAGGTGATGACAGGAGACAGACGTGGGAGAGACAAGAACAATATGATACCGGTTAGCATCTGGGTGGCTTTGCCACATATTGACCAAAGCAAAGGTGATGAAAGAGAGCTTTTTGAGTGCCTGTGCTGATAGCTCTAAAAGCTTAAGGTTATGTTGAATGGAGCTTAAAGGTAGGCACAGTAATGACAGCTTAATTATAGTAATCGCCCTACTGACGGTTGGCAAGTACAGTGTGGTAAAAGAAGCAGCAGGTGGATAGCAAGGAGGACTGGCTTCCCAGCCTCATTCTGCGAAACCCTGGAAAAATCTCTGCACTCCTCTGGGTGCCAGCTTCCTAATTTCCTAAAAGAGGGGTGGAACGAGATCATTTCTTATGATCCTCTTCAGCTTAAAGATATTTGGAAGTCTGAAGCTGTGCTGTCCAATACTATAGCCACTAGCTCCATGAGACTACTGAGGTCTTAAAGGCATAGAAAACAAGTGAGGAAACAGATTTTTAATTGTATTTAATTTTAATTAACTTAACTTTAAAAATGGATACCCAATTCAGTTATTGGAAACCTTTTTAGTAGGTCTGGAACAACATATGTATGTGAGTATACTTTTTAAACTATTACTTTATAAAATCAAAATAAATATTAAGTCTTTGTGATGATAACTTAGGATCCAAGTTAAGATATTGTAAGTGTAAAATACACATAGATTTTGAGGACTTAGCAGACCTACAAATATAATCTAGGTCATTAATAATTTTTTTATATGAAGTACATGGTAAAATGACAATATGTGGGCCATATTGGGTTGAATACATTGTGAAAATTGACCTACCCATTTCTTTTTACTTTTTAAAATGCAGTTATTAAGGAATTTTAAATCGTGTACATGACTTGCATTATATTTTTCCTGGAAGGCACTAGTCTAAGCCCTGCTGAAAGAGGATCAGGGCTGCAATCTCTTTTTCTGATAGCCATGTGCCAAGAAGGTGGTGACCTTTTGCCAGAACACATGCAGAAGGCTGCAGTGCCCCTTTGCTTCCTGCTGTAAGTTCTGGCTCCTGGCCTGCAGCCTGCCTGGCCCCTTTTCACCTGGGGAGGCTGGAGGGTGCTCATTAGAGATGGGATTGGAGGAAAGGCTCTGCACTCAGAAGCACAGGGAAGGCTTGGGAGGTGCTTTGGGGTCTGGAGAAGGAAGACCCATTGAAGGTCATCACTGCTGTTAGTCATCATGGGAGGCACATGATGGTCCTTACTGGTAAGACAGGAGAGAAGATTAGCGAGCTCTAGTTCATGCTGAACTCAGAAGGACTTTCAGTATCACCCCTGAAATTTGCCCAACTTTCACAGGGAATAAAGGTAGGAAGATCAAGCCATTCCAAGTGGCCGCATTTCAAAAGAGAAAGATTGGATGGAAGAGCTACATTTTGAAAACGTCTGGTTTTAAGAATCTTCCACTTAAGCTTGAAAATAGGCTGGTAATGCTGAATGGTTTCCTCTTGTCTCTGTAAGCCTTAGAAACGATTTTAAACAAAAAATTACGTAGTGGAGATAACTGAAACTCACAGTATGATGAAGATAGCCACATGTTCTGAAGGCTTTCCATACAGTTCAATGTGAAGACTAATTCTGTTCCATGTCCCTTATCTAGCCACCCACCTAGTCCCTAATTTCCAAATTTATTCGAGTTGAATATTTCCATCCTTGCCTATGTGTCTTGAGTCCTGTGTGTTGACAGGGAAGCTGTCTTGAGAGTTCAGTAGGATGCTGCATTGCTCTGGGGCAGAAGGAGGCAATGTTGGTGTTTGGGGGAAGGAGGGAAGGTAGACAAGACACCAGAATCACAAGTCACCCTCCCCACTGTGCACTGTAGAAAGCCAGGGTAGATGCCACGTCTGAAAGGAGGCTGCCTATAATTCATGAGGAGGTGGGCCATAGAGGAAATCACACTTCCGTGTCTGTTTCCTTCATTCTCCACCCTCCCTACCTCCTGTCCGGTCTGATTTTTACAGTGCAGGAGATAAATCTTCCCGCCTGCTCAATGTCTAAAGAAACAAAACATAACCAAAAAATCCCTGATAGTCAAGCTGTATGGCCAAGTTGTAATGGCCTGGAGCAGGAATTGGGAAACTATTTTCTTAAAGAGATGGTAATAGTGGAGGCTCTGCAGGCTGTAATGGCCTCTGTGACAACTACACAGCACTGCTGCTGTAGTGTGGAAACAGACATAGACAATATTCAAAATGAACGGGAGAAGCTATGCTCATGGATACTGGAAATTGAATGCCATGTAGTTTTTATGTGTCACACAATCTTCTTCTTTTGATTTAAAAAAACTATTAATAAATGTAAAAACCATTGTTAGCTTGCAAGCCATTAAAAATGGGCTGTGGGATATAGTTTGTTGCCCCTGATTTACAGCAGGGGTTCCTAATCTGGGTCTATGGACTGTTGAAAGATTTCAGGCAGTCTGTGAACTTGGGGCAAATTACTTTTTTATTTTCACTAATCTCTAACAGAAATCTATCTTTTTTTTTCCGTCTATGAACTTGGGGAAAATTACTTTTTTATTTTCACTAATCTCTAACAGAAATCTATCTTTTTTATAATGTAATAAAGAGACTAAATTAGTATTAGCTGAACTTGTGACTTAGTCACCCCCCCAAAAAAATCACAGATATTTTCCTGATATGCGACAGTGGCTGCAGATATTTCAATGTGCTATTTATACTCCACACTACTTAGAAATTGCAGGATCACTAGAAGACTAGCTTAATATGTAAATAAAGAAGTATTTTATTACTATATTTATGATGCATCTTTGCCATATTTTAAAATATTTTTCTAACTGCATTTCGATATAATTTCTTTAGTTAATAGCATATATTTTGTTTTGTGCACTTAAAAATACTTCTGAGAAGGGGTCTGTGGGCTTTACCAGCTGCTAAAGGGTTTATGGAACAAAAATGGTTAAGAACCCCTGGTCTGAAGAGATTGTCAGGATTCTAGAATCTGATTTTTCCAGGTTCACCTAGCTAAAGGTAATAGGCTGCAGACTGCTGAATCGAAACCCTGAAAGAAATTTCCAATAAAGCTAGTAGTAATAGTTCTTTCCAAAGTCAGGCTGTGAAAATGCTCATGGATAAAATATTATAGATCCTGAATATACTTGATGACCTGTTTCGATAAAGAGGGGATTCTTTTTTTAAAAAAATAGAAGAGTTCTATAAAATTAAGGGGAAAAATCCTATAGTAACAGACTCCTTGGCATAGCTTGCCTAAAAGGTTCAAGTTTATGACCCTCATCAATCAGTGACAACAAAGGATCCTGGTCCACACACTATTCAAAGAATAAGAGAAACCTCTGGGGGAAAGCCATCTTTTCCTGGCCTATAGGGGTAAGATATTTTGGGATATGCGGATTAGACACTTCATGTTTTTGGTCCCATTTCTTGGACTATCCTTTCAGCCAGAGTCACTTGTCCTTTGGGGAGTGAGTGATGGCTGAAAACTCATGCTGGCTTATATCAGACCCAAATCCAGGCCAGGCCAGTTCTGTTCACTTTTTACTCTTATGGGCTCCTGGCACCCCAGATGGGATAAGATCATCCAGTTTTAAACTGGGCTCTGGAGATGCCGTAGGTATGCCTTGGATACTCTTGGCTATAAAAGGGTAAAGGAGAATAGACAAGTTTTGACCCCATCCCTTAACATAAATTTGGCAAGAATAGTGTGGCAGTTTTTAAAAAAATCTATTTTGTATGTTGGGTTTCTAAGCAAGTTATTGTTTGAAGAATGGGTTGTAATGTTTAAAAATAAAAACAGCTAAAAAATAAAAACACTGATCCTTCCCAACTCTTATCTTGCACCTGTGAGGGTTCAAATTTGCCCAAGGCCAGTGTGGTAAGAGGAGGACACATTAGAGGAAGGTTTGAAGAGTCCACTCACTGGTGGAGTGTTGGTCTGCAAGGCTAAGAAGTGCTGGTGGCTTCTCAAGAGAAGAGAAAAGATCAGCAGAGAGGAGGCATGATTTTATTAGCTTCAATACCTGAGGTAGACTTGGGTGCCTTAGGCAGGCTTGATATTTCCAGTATCTCTACCAGATGGAATCTTAGATTATAGAGTGGCTCTTCTCAGTTTAAAGGCCAAGATGCCCATGGTCAATCACTATTCTGAACTTATAATCTAAAGAAACACATCTTTAGGCCTCTAGAAGTCAGCAGTTGACTGTGATGGGTCTCCAAGCCATTTTGGGGTCAAATCACTGGTTAGTGGTTTCAGAAAGATGATGCAATGAACAGAGGGTGTGAGAAGATGCCACCAAAGTCAGGCACCTTTGTTTTTCATGGACAGCTGATGGATGTTGAGTAGGAGATTGAAACTGTGGTCAACTATGTAAATAAAATGACACTTTAAAATTATTAGTCTAAAATAAAATTTTGCTGGAAACAATCCCTATTCTGTTTTAGGGAAGTGCTCTGTCAACTAAATGACCCAGCCCTGGAGTTGCTGAAGATGCTACTGAGATGCAGGAAACAGAAAGCAGACTGAAGCATAGGGATGTGGTGACTGTCATTCCCTCTAGGGTCCTTGGGAACTCTGATCTTTTCAAGTAAGAGAGACTTCAGTTATAAGTAAAACAGGAACACCATCCTGGCATAGAAGATATAAAATATTTAAGATACATACCAATTTTACACAAGAAAATTTGAGGTACCTATCATTATGTATATATGAAAAGTAATTTTGGAGTGGTTTCATATTCATTCTTTGAGTAAGTATTAAGCACATGCCGTGTGAAGCACTGTTTTGTATTCTGGTCATATACTAATGAACAAGGTCTTCTGATTGTAGAGCATTCATATGAAAGAGAGGACACATAAAATATACAAGTAGGCAAATGCATCTAAAGGATTTCAGGTGGCAATAAGTGCTAAGAAAAGTGAAGCTGAGATATGATGGGGGTAGGTGAATTGGCTATTTTAGGCAAGGTAACCAGGGAGAACCTTCAGAGGAGTTGATAGTTGAGCAGAGATCTTCATACAATCAGAGAGTGCATCATGTGGAGGTTTGGGGTGAGGGAAACCCTGACAGGAGCAGCAAGTGAAAAGACCTGGAGGTGGGAATATGTTTGGTGTATTTAAAAAACATCAAGAGGGTCAGTGTAACTGGAACCTAGGGAGCAAAAGAGAGTAATAGGAGTAAAGATCAGACAGGTAGGCAGGGAGTTGGTCATATAGCGCCTTGAGGCCATATTAGAAATTTACATCTTATGTTAAGCTTGATGAGAAGTATTGGAGGATTTAGAGCAAAAGAGTGACATAATGTAATTGTATTTTTAAAAGAACAATCTGGTTTTTGTGTGATGCATAGATCAATAGAGAGAAAATAGTAGGGACAGTAGCTAATGGGGTCAAGGGAGAGATTTACAATGGGGTCAAGGGAGAGACTTTAACCTAAACAATAAATACTATAGAATAATTACTTGCTATTTAGGAATGAGTTTTCCTAGTAGCAGGAATACTTATTTGCTAATTGGAATGAGTCTTTAGTAGAAGGAGAAGTAGAAAGAGAAAAAAATAGATGATAATAGATGATAAGGAAAAAGAGTGCGAATATAATGGCTGAGTCAAAATCCTTGGATAAGTGAGAGGGGATGGGCTTCCATGTGCAGAAGAAGAGGCTTACATTAGGGGGGAGTGTGGTCCCTCGTCCGTTCTAACACGAGGAGGGCTGAGGACATGGATACTATGTAAGAAGGCTAGAAGAGGTGATGTAAGAAGATGAGGGAGTAGTAAAAACTCTGTATGCTGAGACCAGAATAAAATTAGAGAGAATTTCAGATGCTAGTAATGTTTTACTAAATCTGAAAAAAAAAATCATAAATCTTAAAAATAAATATATTGGTATCATTAAAAATATACATGGAGAGTTATCAAGAGAATACATTTACTTTTAAATATCACATGAAAAACCCAAACCTTGTTTGGCCTTGGTTTGCACTTAAGAAAACCCATAGAATGTTAAACAAATCTTTGCTGGGATATTTTGTGCTGCAGTGCTTTACCACCAGGGGGCAAAAATCATCTATTGTTTTATTTCCACGGGGTTTCACTTCTGTCTGTAGGATGGGTACGTTGGAAAGCAAGATTATATCTGGATGGAGGTATTTTTTTTTCTCTCCAGGAATAGGAATAGGTATGACATACTTCAGCAGATATAGCAGCTTTCATTGTTGAATGTGGTAGACACTTGATACGTGTATCAAACCCATCTCAACCCATTAGAGATTGGTTTGATTATGCCCATTTTTCAGATGAGCAGACTAAGGAGGCTTAATCACTTGTCTAAATTCACACAGGTAGAAATGATGGAATTTATTGTCAGAGTGGGATAGGCTTTATGGGTGATACCCAGGTGAAGAAGGGTAACTTCTTAATGGCAGGCAAATCACCCTCTCCTTACCGAGGCCTCCTTGGTGTTAGTCTCCTCCGAGGCTGACTTGGCAACCTTCTGAATGATGGGGGCGATGTTGGTGGGACCATAGAGCTGAAGCTTCGGGAGACAGCTCTGATAGGCTTCCACAACTCCTTGAATTCCTAAGGTGAGATGTAAAGATGAATAGTTCCATAGTCCCTCCAAATATATTTATAGTCAAACACACATAAAATCGCAGCATTACTTTTCTCCAAATAGTTCTTATCAACATCACATTTATGTTCTTCAGCTAAAAGGAATACCACATTGCTACCATTGTTGCCTCCTCCCCCACGGAAATCCTTCTCTTCTGTAATGGCTTAGGTCAAAAGCTACATTTCCACAGACTTTTCCCTAATGTCCCACTTCACACATAAGATTTGATTACATCTTCATAGTACAGTGAAATAGGTGAAGAAACAAAGGCTTGAGAGGCGAAATGATCTTATCTATTCCGGGTCACACAGCAAGTGAATCATAAGCTCAGGATTTCAACCCACATCTGTCCTCAGTCACTAGGCAAGTTGGCTTTAATGCTCCTCTAGTTTCCACACCATTCTGTTGCTGACTCTAGTTTCTCCGCCTGGGCTCCTATACGAGCTGTGTGTTCTCCTTGCCCTCTCCAGACGTTATACTCCTTGTGGGTAGGAATCATAACATATTCACCTACTCATTTTTGTATTCCTTTAAAAAGCCCGAGGCAGTGTGAGGTACCTGGCAAATGCTCACCCAATGGGTGAGGAATGGGTAAAATGGTTGATGGACCCCCCTCTGCTCCCCAGCCCTCCAGTTATACTTGTGTTTTCTTCCTGTGGGCATGCTGTTGTTTATCTGTGTTTTCTTTGGAGAGGAGCAGTTGATTTGGATCCAGAAAGTCTACTTCTGTGCTGTGAACAGTCCTAACTGGCGCGCCACATCATTGGAGAGAAATTAAGATGGGAAAGGTGCAAATGGAAGGGCTGTGAGACACTGGGTTTCTTTTCCTTTTTTTGTAGTTTTTGGCTGGGGCTGGGTTTGAACCCACCACCTCCGGCATATGAGGCCAGCGCCCTACTCCTTTGAGCCATAGGCGCCACATCGGCACTGGGTTTCTTATACACTGTGACTTACCTGCACATTCTGGGTTGTCTTCATTAAAGTTGATTGCAAAGTCATGAGAGACCTAGACATCAATTAAAATACAAAGGCAGGAAAAAGGAGAATTACAGCTTTAATCTAGTAAGGTGGCACTAGGGGTTAGAGTTTGCAAACAAATGCCCATTACATTTATTATGTGTTAAACAGCAGGAGACATTTTAAGCCTCTTCACAATCAATCTAAGATGAAGGGTGAATTCTAAGCTCCCTGTGGAGTTGAGGTGACAGGAAGATTTTCTAGAATCAGATAAAACCCTAGCAGGAGGGGACAATAAAGCATATTTTAAAAATTCAAGGCAAGATTTCTGAAAAATGTGACACCAAATAGCTTCTAGATGGAACTGGCCACAGACTGGAGGCTTAGATTTGGCTAAGCTGTATTTGGACTCAGGGATTAAAAAAAAAAGATAACTCTATAACCCAAGCTGATGGTTACAAAGGCTCCAGTTAAGCTGCTGACATTTAAGAATCATTCTAACATCATATGCAGAGCTACGGGGCAGGAGAATTTTCACACACATACAGGTAAAATAGACCATACTCTACTTTCAGAAAAGTAATAAAGTAATATACCTTGTAATCTTCCAACATAAATCCTTCTACTTGGCAGGACCTATCCACAAGGTCAAATAACATATTGTTTACATTTTTCCTTTCAAAAACCTAATAAAATAAGAGGGATGCTCTGGCATCTGAACATTTTTATTGAATCATTTGGGTTATTATGGAGAATTCTATTTCAAAGGATATTTCCAAGCTCTGACTCACTTGGGTGGCTATAAAATAGGTCACTGTGTTAAAAGCCATCTCCTTCTCAGTGGGAGGTCGTGGGTGAGGCTGTTGGTGCCTAGCTCATATCCTCTTGCCCTTAGCATTTCCAGGCAAGTCAGATGACTTCCAGCCATCTTATCTGCTTAATTGATCTTAAGTTTTTCTCTGGTCTTCAGAGCTTGCTTTTCTGCCTGAGTGACTGAGTAAAAGTGTTTGGAAAATGTTCCTAGGGAGCAGCCCTGAATCGGTAATTGACAGGAGAAGATATATAAACACCCCAGCTCCTTTATCCCTGGGGGTCTGTGTGTACTGTTCATGGTGTCTTAGGGTTCCCCAGAAGGATTAAGCTCCAGTTGCCACAGTGGCAACTGGATTGATGATACACCCAGTGCTGACTTCCTTCCATTTCTCTTCTCTCTGTTGAGGTTTCCTTCATCTCTCAAATAAACTACTGGCCTTCAAATCTTATTCTCAGTGTCTGTTCCTGGGGAGTACGAATGAAGACAAAGGTGTTCATATTTCAGTTTCAAGGCATATTCTGAGATTTTGTCCTATACAGTAAATTGTGGTGACCTTGTAAACTCTTTGTGTGTGTGGATGAGGGAATCTCAGCTGCTCAGACTATCAGTGCTGGTCTTGGATACAGGGGAATCAGGCACAGAAAATGGGTATTTGGATAGCTTTTAGGGACCAGAAGTGGAGGAAATATGCGAGCTATCTCCTGGGACAGTAGGAAGAGTAAGTTAGCTGACAGATAAATCGAACTAGGGGATCAAGAGAACTTGAGAACTTCAGAAAACAGCAAGAGGGATCAGTTACTTCATAACCAGGAAGAGGTCATGAATGAGAAAAAGAAGGACGGGAACAGGGTGTCACAGCCCTGTCCTCAGCCCTGGTAAGTCATGCTGAGGCTGGAAGGCCACCTGTAGGGACATGGTGGACAACACTCAAGCATCCCTGGGGAGGGCTGGTTGGTGGGTACATTCCAGGCTTGAGGTTCAGTAGCTATACGAAGAATGTGGGCACCCACCTGCCCACATTCTGGAACTGATACCACATCTGAACCGGACTGTAACTCCACAGCTCTTTGCGTAGGCTATCTTTTAATTTAAGTGTTGCCAGGCTTCCAGTTTTTAAGAGGAACCAGAAATCTGATATTTTATATAAAAATGCCTAATGCTTAAGGATATCTGTCAAATATAGCATATTTATGGCCTGAATAGTGTCTGCAGGACATCAGTAGACAGCTCCTGTTCTACGTTCTTTCTCCCCACGTGTTCTATTTCTAACAAATGCTTCTAGAATTCTGTAGCCATGCCCAGCAGGAAGGTCAATATGGAATACAAGGCAAACAAAAAGGCAAACAGGTCAGGGAGATACAGCATTCCATGAACTGCTCATCTAGCAGTAAGGAAGACTGATTCCCTTTTACAAAAAGGACATAGAAGGGGAGGGCCCTTTGTCTGATAGCTCTGGTAAGGGAACAAATGTCAGCATCTGCCTCCTGACCTGGAGCTCAGACATAATCAGTAAAAGAGACATTCATGAATGGACAGTGCTGCTTGCAATTAGCTTATGCCTTAGAGGCACTAGTGAGGTAGAAGCTATGGCCAAGCTCTGCACACCTAGGGAAACTGAGTTCTCTGTGGCGAGTATTCCCCCAGAAGCATCTGGTCTACCACAGTTGAGTGCCTCAGTTCCACTACAGTGCAAATTTCTCTATAAAGAAATCTTTGCTTTCTTTCTGTCATGAGAAATTATAAAAAACAAATAGGATTATAATATCTTCATAAGAACTTTTCAGCTTCAATTCTCTAAGCCATAATGGTTCTTTCTTCAGGACTTCCCTGTGTCTCCTGAGGCTTGGATGAGGGAGTTTGTAGATGTCATCATTATGGACTGTCATGGCTGGCATTGTCAATAGGGTTTATATTGACTCTGTTTCCTAGGGGAGATATGGATGGAAACTCTCTGGGAGACCAGTTGCCTGAATGCTTTCTCAGTCTATGACCACATCTACAAGAAAATGAACAATGGACGTCTTTGTCTGGACCTCTGAGAAGAACCAATCTAGAATACTGAGAGATTGAGTTTCATTAAGAGACAGACTCTGAGGAATTCATCTTGCTGGTTCTGAAGACCATTTCTGCCTCTTTGGGCCCTACTAACATAATTTTGAGAGCCAACGGAGGAGGCTCCTGTGAAGGAAACCCAACCACAGCAAAATGAAAGGAGATCCCATCTCCAAATGCTCACCGTGTACTCTGGGGGTATCCTGGCGCCAAACCCAAAGGCTGGGAACATCTTGTCACTGAAATTAAGTTTAAAAAGAAAAAAGAAAAAAGAAGTTGCTTCAATAGTCTATTAGGAAGAAAACACATGAACCTGTATTACCTTGCTAGGCCATTTGCTATGCCACTTGCTGACTCATGCTTCTTGATTATCTCTGGCAATGGGGATGGCAATAGCACAGAGGATTAAAATCATGAAATAATCTTCACCGTTCATCTCATTAATTAGGCTACAACTTCTCTTAACTTCTTGCTAGATTTGATATCAAGAAATATAAGAGCCCCAGAATTCATCAGTCTCCCCCCTCACACCATCACCAGTCCAATATTCTGTTTCCTTTGAAAAGTGACGATAAATTAGCTAACTCTTATGGTTGACTGTGTTAGAATCTTTCATATATTTTATATTTTTAAATACTTATAGGGAGAGATTACCGTTTCTAAATTACAAGTGGAAAAGTGCCTTAAGTGGTAAAGTGACTTGCCTAAGATCATGCTGCTATTTAGAGCCAGGGTTCAAATGCACACAAGCCAGAATCCAAGAAGATATGCATAGCAAAAAGTAATGGAAAGCTTGTAAGTCTGGCTAACTGACAGAGCTCTGTGCCTTCTACACAACTCATTATGTCTACCATGTTATCACATACAAGCAGCAACGAGTTGTTTACATGACGTTTCTTGTTTCTTGAACTCAAAGGTACCCTGTCTTTTGTATCAATATCTTTATATCTCCACTTCCCACTGCCCCGAATCGCCCTCTGCCCCGACTCTGCACCATAGAACTTGACACAGAATATATGCTCAATAACCAGTTAATTAATAAATATGTAAATTTAAGTCATTAAGATGTGGTTATATAAAGGAAGGAGGATCTTCATGAAGACCCTCGAGAATCACATACACATGCATTTCCTGTGGCTTGGTTTCTCTTGTACACACTGGAATTTCTTTCCTAATTTATTCATTCACACATATTGTATATTACCTCTGATTTTGTTATACTACAAGTGAGGAGAATTAACTACAAGCAGGAGAATTAACATTCATTGACACATACGACATGCCAGGCACTATGCTAGGTGTTATTTTCACACAACTCTGGAAGTTCAATCTACTGATTATTCCCATTTTACAGGTAAATAAGCAGAGTATCAGAAAAGCTTAATAAGCAGGCTACGGTGATTACCAAGGAGGATAATCCCATGCTTTTTCTACTTTATCTTTGTAAGTTAATAATTATATGTAGCATTAAATGTGGTTTTCTACTGGCACTTCTAGTAACTGGGCTCCCTGACTAGATAACAAATAAGACCCTCCTTCATCAAATTTTGCGCTGTTAGGCGTGTGTTGCAATGGGGCTCCAGAATATTGCTTTTAGCAGAGGGCGTGTCCTTCTCATACAGTCTTTTACTTCCTCTCTTATCAAGAATACATTTGAGATTTCTCCTTGCAACAATTCTTATATTCTTCAGTTCTTGGTAGACTAAGCCAAAGAAAAAAGGAATTCGGATTAGCGTTCACAGCCCCAAACATTTTCTGTAAGCAAAAGGGGATCTTCCCAGCCCTAGACTAAGTGAGAAGCAAAAGCAGCAAATTGAGATTTCCACCCATCACCACCTACCTGATTTAGAAGCCTTTAGTAGCCAACAATGGCTTTGAGAAAACTGCACCAAAACATAGCCAACTTAATTAAATTTAAGGTTAGGGGCTGGGAGATACAAAGCAGACAAAATTCTTTGAAATTAACATCTAAATTCTGAAAATCACCAGCTCCCCCTTTCTCACTGTTGTGTCCCTCCTGGCTTTGTGGTGCATGGGAGCTGCGTGTATTCAAGAAAGTGTTAATGTGGATAAATAGAGACTCACAACAGCTTATAGAGGATTAGCTACAGATATAAGAAAATATACTTCTAGTCCTTAGACATACTGAAATACTTTGCCTCAGAAATTCTTCTTTAACCAAGACAAGGGCAGATGGATGTGAGAAGGGATTTGTGAAGGGGATTGTAGAAGTTCTTTCTAGTTAAGTCTGGCATACAACTTTTTAGGATGGAGGAAGGGTTTATTTCTTCTAACTCAAAGATGGCTCAACAATCAAAAGAGAGAAACCTTTTATTTTCTCCTTTGATGGGTTTAGGAAGGGTGAGAGCTAATATTCCATGCATTTCTCATCACTAAACCAGTGTTCCAGTCTTAGTGGATACTTCTTTGATAACTTCTAAGCCATCTTGGGGATTTGAAGTTAGTTGAGCATGATGCACTGTTAAGCGATTGAATTTTAAGAGTAAGAAAGGTAGGGACCTCACCTACGAGGGGGAATAATTAATGAGTAAAGAGGGATAAATTCTCTGAAATCAGCCACCACAAAGCCTCTAACTAATAAACATACTAAAGAAAAAATTTCAAGCCTAAGCAGAACAGATTTAAAAAATCCATTCTTTCTGTTTAAAAATAAAATTAGGTGGAGAGGAGTCTTATTAGGCAAGAAGTGAGAGAAGGCATGTTAAACTGGAGAGGAGGCATTGGTATGTCCTCACTACAAAGAACTCAAGGTTGAATGGACTCTGCACCAAGCAAAGGCCCATTTAACCGCTATTAGGAAAATAATTGGTGAAGACTGATAACCTGGAAAATTCAGGGTTATATTACTGCATCAACAAAGGCAATATTTCTTACTATTAAAATAAAGTAATATAAAATACAATAAAATTCTTAAATGGTTAAGAGTAAGCTGTTCTGAATTTAGGGAGTGGGCATGGTCAAATGGCCAGCAAATGGAATATTTATTTTTAATTACTATTTTTACTTTTCCGGTTAAGAAAAACTTTCAGATAAATCAAGAGGTTAATAAAAGGAAAGGCAAATTACCTTATCTATGAGGAAATGGAGACTACCTCAGAGCAATCTGGTATTTCAGAGGACCTAAACATTTAATAAAGACTGTTTCCTAAAGCAGTGGTCTTAAAAATGACATACATAGAAATGAAAAGCCCTCTGGGGATAAAAGAACATGGCTTTGTTTTTTATTTAAGGGAAATCAATATTCAGTTTCTCTATATCCTTGTGTATTTTTTGCTGAAACTGATCTGGGACTCAGTGATGGAGAGCCCGGTTCTCCATCACACCTTTCCTTTCATAATTACTCTTCTCCTTTGCCCATTCTGAATCTTAAGCACCATGGTGCATTGTTCCAGAAGCAAAATCTCTGTAGTATCAAATAATGGTACAGTTCTAAAGGTGAATGATTCACTAGGAAAAAAATAATCCTTTTGCAATTTTTGCTTTAAATAAACTTTAGCAAGTGCTGATGTCAACTGGCAGATTATTAAAATTTTCTTTTGATGATTGACCATTTTGTGATTTCTTTTTTTTTGGCCTCTAACTTAGAATTGAAAGAACTGTTAGTCAAATTCTCCATTTCCATGTGCTTCTGTATAAGAACAAGTTTTCTTAGTATTTACATTGATTAAAGCAAAAAACTGAGAAGGGTTAAACTCATTCTAGGCTCTTCTATTTTAATAATATAAACAGGTAGCTGTCATTTACAGATATGAAAGCTAATTGGAAAAAAAACACTATATGTTTCAGTAAGATGTGATTTCTATTAGGTTTTTACTTCTTACAGGTAATAATTTGGCACTTATCATTCAATACATTTATGTTCTTTTGATCAATGCACTAATAATAATTGTCAAAAAATTCAACCCAGATATTTTTATAATTCTTTGAAACTTTTTATCATAGGAAATTTTAGAAATTAAAAATATTCAAATTTATATTTTTATTACAGAAATATATGATACAGTGATCAATAAAAGAATTACAAATCAAATTTATGAAGATACACTTGGATAAAATTCTGTAGGGAAAGAGCATAGAAATATGAGTTGAGGGAAAAGAAGAAACAATTAAAATTCTCATCTCAAACTAAAGAGCTTGTTCATTTTTTAAAAAATGGATGGATATCAAATAGTCATGGCATTTTCATTCTACTGGAGATAGTCATAGGGGTTATGTAAGAATTTTCTTTTAAACGTTTATATATACAATATACTAGAATTTTCATATTTTGTCACTATTTAAACTTATGATGAAAAAGTTAGATTTCAATGAAAAAATGTGTGAGAGTCATACATTTTATAAAATTCTTTTTGGGGATACATGAACAAAAAACTTTAAAAGACCATTGGTTCAAAATGAATTTAAATCTGGGACTCTAGTCCTATCTTCTTTCGTATTTAGTTTATTTTTAAGAAACAAATTTAGGGTATTAAAAATACTAGCCTCTGTCATTCATAAAACATTTATAACAGGCAGAACATGTTCTAACTGGCTACTTTACAACTAATGCTTACCACTTCCCAGCCAGGGAAGTTTGATACACCTCTAATTTGTAATTAAGGAAGCCAAGGGACCCAGAAAATGCAAATCTCCTAGGTATAGAGGTAGCAGAGCTGAGGTCTGAAGTTAGGTCTACTGGCCAGCAGGATCCTGCGAGTTTCCATCATCCCTGATTCTGTCTTCCCTAACAGAAGTGTGGGCTAATGTTTCAGAATGATGAGAATAAGTCCATCTGTATTCTAATAACAGTAAAGGATAGTATTAGAGTACTCATCAGCCCAGAAGTCATCAACCCCAGGACTCCCTTCTTAAGCACCTGTCTTTCCACAAAGGACAGTTAGCCCTTCCCTCCTTCATACGGTTCCCACCCTTACACAGGGTGAGGCTGCCCTGGCCACCCTGGGCTATAATTTATTTACATGCTATTCTCTACTATGAAGCTGTGAGCCACTTGAGGGAAAATTGGGTTTTATTCATTTTTCTATCTTTACAGCTCCACTTGAGGTACTTGGCACTCAAGTAGATGCTACACGCATCCTTAGCTAATCTGTCTGACCCATCTTTACTGATTTAACTCTGGATCTCAACCCTGGATACCTATTTGAATAAAAAAGTCCTTTTCCCCAGCCAGGATACACACAATTCAATCAAATCAGAGTGTCTGGAGTGAGGCCCGGGCATCAGTACATTGTAAGCCTTTCCAAGTGGTTTCAATGTGGAGCCAAGGTTGAGAATCACTGATGTTGGTAGAATGGAAAAGGTAGCTTTGTGATATGAGCCTACCTTTTCATGACCAGCCCAGGGCTCTACACTTGAAAATACCCATCAGAAAATACCCACAGCTCTAATCTTGTGCCCTAGCACCACACCTACCACACCACGAAGACTTCGGTCTTGGTTTATGATATCTCTGCCTCATTGTGTGGTGGCCACTTCTATAAAACTATACTTTCAAGACATGTGTGTATTTAGTTTCTATAATATCTTGATATCAGATAGGCCTTTTTATTAGAAAACATTTCAGGTCATCAGAGACCCACAAAGAACAGATGCTACCTTGGCTTTGAGCAGTCTAAGGAAGCCAGGATGTTTACAGGAGCTGGGGAAATGCTGCAATCAACAGAGAATGCATGAGCTTGTGTGGGCTGTGACTCGTGTGTGTGTGTGTGCGTGCATGTGTGTGTGGATATGTATGCTTGTGTGTACATGCTCATGTGTGTGAGTGCAGGAATGTTGGCCTTGGGGAATCAAGGCAGAGAGAAGAGACAGCAGCATCTCTTTCAGAGGCCGAGGGATAGAACAAAGTGGCAGGATTGCTTTCTGGGCTTAAGGACCAGCTATCTGGGGGAAGCTGCCCTTCAACCCTGAAAAGAGCTTGATGCTCAAGCTGTTCTACTTCATGGATCACCCTGTAATGACCCCATAGCAATGACTGTACAAGGCAGAAAGAAAGCCCTTGGCTGTCAGAGGCTGGGAGAATTTCTAAGGCTCATGGGGATTAAAAACCCCTGTGTCGCTGCAGCAGGGGGAACGATGCCTTCTGTCAGTTTTTATTCAAGTGTTTCTTTTGAACACCAACCTCACTGACTTTGATGTGAGAATAAATTAATTCCGGAGCCCCGACTTGGTATTTTTTTCTGACTCTGCCTGTCTATTGTCTATCCACCCACACAAAAGAGAAATGGTGGAACCTTGTCAGTTTTCAAGCAAGCAGAAAGACTCTAAAGAGTGTTGTAAAATAGTGCTGGGGTGTTTCACTCCTCCTTTTCTTCCTTAGGTCTTTGCCCATTTTAAAGATGAGCTGCTTTCTTTATACATTAAAAAAAAAAATTGCGCCACTGAGCTGCAGAAACTTGATTTTCTTGGCTGGTTGTGGATAATAACTTTGCTCTCACCCTACTGAGATTTTAAAAAGCATCATTTATGATGATTCTTCACGTAATTCCTAAGGTGTCATATCTTATTTTTATATTGAATCTGCATCTTTGAGGAAATACAAAATGCTCCCCAGACTTGGTCTGATTCACTTTCTAAAGGGCTAAAAGCTTTAAAAGCTGTACGTGTCACTCTGACTATCGTATCTGCACTTTGCCGGTGGGTGGGTGAGGCAATCGGGAAGGAACACATTCAGCAGCTTTTTCCAGGTCATCCAATAAATCTGTGCCAAGACCACAACGAGGGCTCTGAGCCTTCGCTTCTGAATTTCTGGACAACTTACCAGTCTTCTCTTTGGAATTTATTATTGGACCGCCTTCTCCCTTGCAGACTCAATCTTTTAATCAAGCATTTAGTATATGATATGTGTTCAGTGCTTTTTACTTACTTTATCTCATTTATAAGCTCTTCAAGATTTAAGTTGCAAGTCTTGAAGAAATTCCTTCTGCTCTTTGTCTCCTAGCATGTGCACACATTATTATTAATTATTAATGTGTGGGTGTGTGGGTGTATGTATGTGATATAATGAAGGGAGAGAATTAACTGTTTTTTGTCCTGGGGAAGTTTAGAGAAGTTTCCAACATAGTGGAGATGCAATTTGTCAGTCTTCTTTCTCTCTAGCAGAAATCTTCACATGACATAAACCTCTTTAGGGCTTTAGGGATTCTTCCTATATTAGCATCCAAAGAAATCAGAGCTAAAACTCAAATTATCTTTATAGTAAGCATCTCTAGATTGAGCGTGGAAAGTGTTCCTTCAACAAGGTAATTTATTTATTTATTGGCAGTTTTTTGGTTTGTTTGTTTGTTTTTGGCCAGGGTCAGGTTTGAACTTACCACCTCTAGTATGTGGGGCCAGCGTCCTACTCCTTGAGCCACAGGCACCACCAACAACAAGGTAATTTAAATTGACTATTGCCTTCTGCCCTAGATGTACAGGTGAGTGTTTATAGCTCTTTGATTTTACTAGACCTGTTCATTCATTCCTCAACTGCTATCATGCGCCATTTCAGTCACTGGTGATGACCACGCTGAATCCAAAGACACCAGCAGGCAGGAGACCAACTGGACCTTCCCAATGACCTGTTCTGTTAGTTTCTCTGTATGTTCTGGTCACTAGGATGTATCATTTCCTAGGGTATGTGAGGCAACAGGGTTTTAATATGGTTATCACTAATTATGAAACCAGAAAGAACAAAAATTGTACTATCTCATAAAATCTCTCAGAAACCTGAAGGATAGAGTTGCTTTCTTAATTTTCCTGATTTAAAAAGTTAATTCCTCGCTGCTCATGACTAACTGGCCTTATTTTACAATCACACCAGGGAGTCAACTGAGCTTTGTACCTATTTATGTTACGTATAATATAAGAGGCATCAACAATACCTCTGAAATCAAGTCCTGAACTCCTTCACCTCAGTCTAGAAATACTGAAAGGGCAGAACAAATACAACTGAATGTAACTTACAAGACACTTCCTATAGGGAATTATCTTGGTGAGAAAGGTCACTATTTATCATTACGTAGAAATAAATTGAATACTGATGTAGTCTCAAAATTATTTTTCTATATACACATAGGCAAATGCACTCAGATTGGCATGGCCACACAGATGTGCCATATAATATCTGCTACAGTTACCATTAGCTTTTGAGATCAATGAAGTACAGTGATAACAAACTTATCTGTAGAGTGAATAGATCTGAGTTCAAGTCCTGTCTCTGGTTGTGTGATAATGCACAAATTATTAACCTCCTGTATAATATTCCTCTTATATAAAACAATACCCATTATATGTGTATCTAAGCTATTAGATGCAATAATGTCCAATGCACGTAAAACTCCAAAGTACTCACAAATCATCTGGGAATCTTGTTAAAATACAGATTAAAATTTAGTAGGTCTGGAATGCTGCTCATCCATGGACAAATTTTAAGTAGAACAAGGTACATATTAAGATTTCACAGGATAGAAACCAAAATTGCTATCTACTGGTCTTGAAAGCCAATTAAGAGAAGAAAGATGAACAAAGATTTTTGTTTGGTGACCAAAGTAAACATGGTACAAACTCGGTGTCTCTAGATATGCAGAGAATGGAATATTGAAACAAGGCTTTAATCTGTTCTTTCATTCTGTATGAGGAGGAGTTGCTCTACTTAATTCCCACTTTTCTGCCAAAGATCAGTCAAGGACCACCTGAACTCACAGTCTCTTACCTGTCATAGTCTTGGCAAATCTCTCCTACAGCTACCAGGGCCTTCAGGTACTCATTGGGTTGGTAAGGGTGGATGTAGTGCAGGGAACAGCTGTTCCTGGGGTCTCCATTTGAGGCAGTGAAATCTATAGCTACCTGGAAGAAAAAAAAAAAATAGAACAGGTAGATTTAAAGTAAATGTGTCTCCTAGGAATTATGATCCACCATGACAAAAATGTGGCTTCAGAAAACAAAAAAACTATATATACCACCAATAAACAAAAAGCATGGGAGGAAACTAATTAGCTTGAAAAACTAGTTATCAGTTTGGTTTGAGGCCATCTCTGCAGTCTTCAACCTCTCCTCCCTCATGCCCTCTTTTCTATCTGTCCAAAGAGAACTAGGGGTGGACATAACAGACAGAAAGCCCGGGTGCTGTTGATGCACTTCATGAGGCGGCAAGAGTAAGGACAGAGTACCCGCCCTCCAATTTCACATTTCACCAAGAAAAGACTTCTGTGATCCCTGGGCAGAACACTTCCATCTCTGAGGCATAGGTAAAAGTCCCTTTAAACTAAAATCTGTGTTAAATGTAATCTTTATAACAAAGCCTTTGCCATATTTCCATGAACCCCTGCCTATAACAAAGAAGATGCCTGAATGTTACGGCATCATGAGTGGGAAGTGGAGAAGAGAAAATTCTGTTTTGCTAGCAAATAGTCATTATCCTTCAACTTCTTAATGTTTTTCTGACCCCTAATCCAAACAAAAGTTGACTTACTGAATACTTCTTAACAACAAACAGCAGCAACGACAGCAAATGCTTAAGCCTGAGAGTGTTAAAATGAGAAGGAAGATTTTTTTTTTTTCTGATTCCCAACATTACCACCATCTAAATAGAAGTTAAGCCAGAAAAAAGCCCTTGAAAATACTTAAGCTTAGGGTGAAGAAGGTTAAAATGAGAAGCCAGGGGGAAGGAAAGAATGTCTGAGTCACCTCTTTCCTTTCCTCCTGGAGTACAGATGAATGCCTTTGTTGGCTAACCATGACACAAAGGCTCCATTGCCTCCCACGATCTTGGGGATTGCTGGATGGGAAATGTTTGTGTAATAGTTGGCAACTTTCACTTAACCAAACAACTAGAATGCTTCCTTGGATTTATTAAGGTGGGACCTTACTTCTGGAAGGACCGAAGTAGTGTGCTTTGTTTGTACTTCTTAAGGAGTAAAAGATTAAGGAGGTAGAAATGTTTTTCTTTACATGGGTCACTTTTGTAATGCTTGCGACTTGGCTGTAAGTGTGCCCATCACCCAGTGGTCTACATGGTCCCCATTAGGTAGGTTTCCACCCTTCAGAAAAATAAAACATATCATAGGGCTGGCACTAGGGTGAGGCAAAAGGTGCTTCGTGTATAAGACCCAAGGAGGCACTCACTCTCACCCGATGCTACCCTTGTATGATCCTCAGGATGAGTGCTTTTTAAAATTTTGTACCCCAGGTTCCTCTTGCTTCACTTTGGTCCTAGTGCCACTAAATCATTTCATTTCTATCAATTCTTCATCCTCAGGCTTGGAATAATTTTCTTTTGCTTAGCAAACTGGCGGGGGTGGGCAGAGATGATGGCAAGAAGGGGATTGTGATTCAAGATGTTACGGGCAGGAAAAGAATAGGATCTGGTGACTGATTGGATGTGGATTTGGAGGCCGGTCTCAGCAGTGCATGCAGGGAACCCTAGACCTCTGGGAGGCTGAAGTGGGAGGATCTCTTAAGCTCCAGAGTTTGAGATCAGAAGGAGACTCCATCTCTGTTAAAAAAATAGAAAAATTGGCCAGGCATCGTGGTGGGTGCCTATATCCTAGCTACTCGGGAGACTGAGGCAGGAGGATGGCTTGAACCCAGGAGGTTGAGGTTGCTGTGAGCAAATTTTTTTTTTTGAATGTGAAGTTGGATGTCAGTTAAGGAAGAGGAGTAGCCAGATTTCTCTGGGGATAGAGGTAGATAATACATCTCGAGGATAATGAAAAATGCAAAGGCCAGTGTCAGCAGGTTAGTGTGGGGCTGCCTGTCCTGGGTTATGTTACACACACACACACATGCCTGGTGGAACTTTTGCTGCCTTTTTGTAGGTTTCCACTTTTCCCATGGCCCCTATGCATGTGACAACCAGAGGCGATTCTTGCTCAGGAAATTCTGATATAGACCTAGGGAAGGGTATAAGCTGAAAGATTACATAATGAAAAAAGAAAGAAATCAATGATTCTCACCACATAGGCCTTTCAGTGGTTCTCATGGCTCGTAAACAAAATAGTTTGTCAAGTAACTAGATAGCAAGGGACAGTCTTAAGCACGTGGTAGCTAAAAGATTCTTTTTCCTGGCCAGGGACGGTGTCTAAAGTCTCCCTCAGGAAGCTAGAGGTAAAATATCTATCTGCAGGAAGTGGCCTTCTACCAAGAATTCTCCGCGCTCTTTAAAGTTAGCAGTAGTGGAAAGAGAATAGAGTGAAAGGTTAGGTTTATTTTAAAAAGCAACAGGGAGGCAGTGAAAGATGGGATTAAGTTGAAAAATAAAAGCAAGAAAATGACTGAAAAATGCCAGTTTGTGGAGGTGGCCGCGACGCCCGCTTTCCGCATGCCGGGGAGCTTCAGACCCGCGGCGTTTTCATTTTCTGATGCGCAGCATTTATGGAGACCTGTGCTTCTGGCGTGTGCTCCAATCTTCTCAGCGGGCAGCGCAAGAGCAGGCCGCTGCTTTTTCCTTCTGCCCGGGAGGCTGCTCTCATTATTAAGCAGAGCTGTAGAGCAGCTTTCCAAAACCTTGTAGGGTAAGAAAGCAAATGCTCTCTCCAGGCCACCGAGTCCCTGGTGCGTGGAGCTGCTTTCTGGGAAAGGGCTGGAAGCGAATGATGAGCATCTTTCGTAGGGCAGTTTTAGCCTCTTATGTGAAGCAGCCCCACTCCGCAGACCCCCTTCTCTTCATCTGACAAGCAGAATCTCTCTTCTCACCTTCGTAATCAAATTCTTTTTAAAAAAAAATTTTAGATTAATCTGAGGGTACAGACAGTTAGGTTACAATGTTTGTGTTTGTTAGATAATGTCCCTGTTGTAGTTGTACCAGAAGATGTGCCAAATATCCTTACATTGTGCCCAGTAGGTGGGACACACCAATCCCCTTCTCTTCCTCCCTCTGTCCTCTCCCTGTGATCAAATTCTTGAGGAGCATTTTTTCTGTTTTAAATATTTGTATGTAATTTTGACCTCTACAGTGAGCCCTGTAGGTGGAGATGCTGTTTAGTCTGGGCTGTTTCTTAAGCGGTAGGTTAAATTCTTATTCTTTTCCATTTCCACAAAACCGTAAGGGGGCAGTGAGATAAGAAAATAGAGACCAAGCTCACTTGGTTCATTTCTTGGAACTAGCAAAGCATTTGCCTCTTTACCCCTTGGTATCCTGGTTCACCCAGAGGTTCAGTGAGTAGGGCTAACTGTGTTTTGCAGAGGTCTCTCCCAGAGTCCAAGGGGATTTAGTCTGAGATATAAACTAAAGTTTCAAAAACTTACATGAGGCCACAGTGTAGACATAGGACATCCTAAATGTGTTAGGGTTAGAAATGATTTTCTGAGGTTTTCCACATTTTCAGGCAACTAGATAGCAATGGACAACCTTTAGAACTTTGTTAAAAATTTTGCACCTATCTACGTACATAGGTATAATTGAAATTTTTCTTTTGAGTATGATACAATTTTTTATATAGTTGTAATCATAGAATAATTTGCTTTCCATTCTTTTTAAAAAATTAACATTATGTCATAAACATGTTCTCGTAATATTATTTGATCCTAATAAATACAACTTAAAATAGCTTTATATGGTCCACGTAAAGGATATATTATAATTTACATAGATATTATTTTATTATTGGACATTTAGGTTGCTTACAGTGCTTGTCTCTGTAAAAAATCCATTTTATAATGAATATGTTTGTGCATATGAAAAAGTAATAACTTTCAAAGGAAACCTTTAATTCTTCTACATTTTTTTCTTTCCAAATACCTTATGACATCTGTCTCTTCTAGGCTGTCTATAACTTTACAATTTTTGTGTCTTATTTTTAGCCACTGTGACAAACCTTTCTCCCTGTGGTCTCTGTGTCACCTCTGCCCCCTTCGCCAAGACTGCAAGACTCTAGAGCTCTTATGACTCAAGGATCCATGTGATGCCCCAGATTATCCTCAGGGTGCCCTTGACCTCCCAAAATTATATGCAAAATTGGGTTTGTGCATTTTCTAGCAAGAGGATATAGATCATGTATCAGATTCTCAAGTGGTCCAGCTGACCAAAAAAAGAATAAGGAGCATTGACTTGTGCTCTTTTTAGCATCATTTACCTCTTTCTCTCCACTGGCCTTTTGCTTCTGCTTGGTCAGATTCTAGCCTAACACCCATTCTAATCTTCAAATTGCCACCCCCCTCTTATTTCCCTTCTGAATAGTTCTACCTGCTGTGCACGTACCTTCTGTTTACATCCTAACTCCTAGGTTTTGCTATTGCATTCTGTTGAAATTGTTCTTTTGAGTATGACATATGCTTACTTGTCACACAGCCCAGTCATTGCTTACTGTTCTTCCCCCTCTGACTTCTCCTTGGCAATTGAGATTCCTGCTCTTGATTTTAACCTTAGCCTTTCTCTCTTGGGCATCTGGGTTGCCTGGACCTTCTTTCCCTGGGGCATCTCTTCTCTTACTGTTAGCCTCTCTGTCTTCTGCTCCTAGATGGAGCTCTTCTGTCGTTTCCTGGTATCACATCCCTTCTCTTGGGCCATCTCTTCCAGACCCACATACATGTAGCTCATGCTTCTATCTTGAAAGCTAAGTCTATATTTATAAGTGTCATCTCCACTGGGATACCTGGAAGTGCTTCCAACATGTCCCCAACCAACTTTGTCATCTTGCCTGCAGCTCCTCTTAACTTGTGTCTTTCTGTGAACAGGACCACCATGCTCTGTCAGGCTGGCGCAGAAGCTCGGTCATCCTGGACTCATCACCCTGCTCTGCTTTTAGTCTCTTCATGGTATTGAGGCAGAGGCTCATGGCCCCTCTTCCCAAAGTGCCTGTTCCTGCCGCTGCCCTCTCATTCAGCTCGTTCCTGCCTCTCTCCAGGACAGCGGCAGTGGCTCTCATCTCTTCTTGCAGCATCTTTCATCCCCCATCACCTTCACTGACGCCTTTTACCAAACATCCTCAGGCTGACGTCTCTAAAGCATGTGCCTGTTTCTTCAGTGCCCTGTTCATTATCTTTTTGAACATTTCATTATCTGCCAAACTACCTCAACATTAAAAGACCTCCAAGTTCTGACCCTAGACTGCTTCTGCAACACTCCCCTAAATACATCCTGTTTCTTAATATTAACTCAGCTAAGGTTTTGTTATTTATCATTAAACTATATGGATACATAAATAGTTAAATGCATGAAGAAGGACTGCTTTTTAAAGCAAAAACCCAGGATCATATTTATTCAACCACTTTGTTCTTTTTTTTTTTTTTTCTAAAACTTACCTCCCTTTGAAGAATTTGGGTTTACTTTATTACAATTCAACAATAGTATTTTGAGGTGCCTGGCACCCGAAAGGAAAGATGGCCCATCTTTAATGCTGTTAAAGTTGAACCAGAAGCACCAGCATCCACAGGAGATGCAAACGCTTTCTCCTTGCCCCTGTTTATAATGTGTCTTAGTCAGATTCTCTACAGGAATCATAAAATCCATTCAAGTAGTGAGGGAGAGGCAGACGAGTGAGAGTTGGTGAGCTCTCACCTAACGGGTTCAAACTAGGGGTATATGCCATACCCCCTGGGTGAAGGACTCAACTACAACTTGGATTTACTCAACAAATACAAATAATGTAACTTAATTGTTTGTACCCATGTATTAATCTGAAATTTTTGAGAAGTCCACTCAAAAGAGGCGATTGAGGTGAGAGTAATAGGAAAACCTCCCACAAACATATGGGAAAGGTTAAGGGGAAACTGATCGTAAAAGTGGGAAGGTTACTAGAACTCAGTAAGGAGGATCTGTAGGGCAGGGCAGCAGATGGGAACTGCAACCTTCTGTAGAGGAACAAGGTCACTGCCAAACCTCTGCCTGCCAGGCAGGATGCTGAAGAAATAAATACTCCACGTTCTCTCTCCTCCTATTCTTTGATTTCTGACTGGTGCCTTCCACTGATCAAACCCAACCAAAAGCCAAGAACAAGAGATTCTGGGTAGCACAGAGTGCTACTACCTCCAAAGAGGTTGGCCTCCTGGGACACAGAGGGGACAGGTGGAGAAGGATAAGGAGTGGACCTGGAGGAGGAAATGGAGAACACCCAGAACTTTATGTCACTTCTGGTACCTGAAGGTATTTCTCCAGAAAGAGAAAGTCTGTGTTGGTTAAAGCTCCTGGGCTGGCTCAGGAGCGATGGATCAAATTATTTACCAGTGAGGGTTTTTACTTCCGAAAGGCTCAGAGGTAATTTCTGTAACAACACACCCTTTCCCCTCTCTCCTGTGCCCGTCTCCGTGCCAGGAAGCCCTGTTCTCCTCACTTCTCATCTCTCTGCTGCTTCCTTCTCATGCTGCCAGATGGTTTCAATAAAATTACAGTGCAGATAGTAAATAAGACATGTTAATTTTTATTAACAGTTTGTATTACAGCTTATAATTTACTTTAGATTATGCTGCTTGAGCAATAAAAATTTATAATGAGAAAACTGACTTAATTTGGGAGGAAAATTACACCAAAGTGATGGGTATGTTTCCCTTAATAGAGTACTCAGAGTAGAATGCCTAGAGATTCTCCTGAGTCCCCAGCCTACAACCCTGTAGGAGGAGTAGCCTGTGATGGGAGCTATTAATGACCTGCCCCCTTCTCCTTGGCATTCTGTACCATTCTTCATTCGTTGTTCCACACTGCCTGCCTCACTCGTGTCCCCCAGAGGTCTATCATTGAAGGGGATGAGAAGGGCATTGCTGGTGGCCAACTACTGAGGTGGCACCTCCTTGTTGGGGAAAGGAGAGAAAGGAGGGGAAAACAAAGTGGGGAGGCGATCTTCCTATGCCAGGCAGGTCACAGATGTGGTAATGGGAACCCCTTGGGCTTAACCTGTGTTCACTGGGGGTGATTCTTTGCAGCACAACATCAAGGGCAAAAGCAAGCCCCTGAAGGTTGAATAAAGGGTTGTACAAGAGCACGGGATCTACAAAATCTAAAACAGACTGAAATCAATAGGGCTTTTCCTTGAAAACCTATAAATAGGTTTCTGAAATCATATTTTTACCTAAGGTCTTGGGAAACTATTTCTAGTAGCTCTCCTTTATGACATTGCTTCTCTTTCTGTTCAAGTACACCCAGAGCAACAGTGACTTAGGTGTGCGTGCCCACAGTGAACCTGCTTGCTGCCTTCTGTATGCAACAGTGTGCTCGTAGAAGGGAGGACTGGGTGGTGGTACAACCAGATAATCCTAGGCTTTAAAGAAGTGACTAAACTCTATAACTACCCTTGTACGTATTCAGGGGTAAATGGATAATGCCCTAAATTTAGGCAGGGCAGAGTTAGGTCTTTCTGAGATTAGAGTAGAAGATAAGCTGGTCTAGCAAATGACTTCTTGTCTCACTACCCTGGGAATTTCCCTTTGAGTCCTTTGAGCTCCTCTTGGGCCCATAGCTGGACTAAAGAACTTAAACCATTTTTCTATCTTTTTTCACATGGTTCAGACAGTCTAGGGTACTAAACAGAGTGAAGCTTCATAAGCACTTTTCTGTAAGATGAGAAACAAATGCTGTACAAATCGTATCTCTCTTGTTTATATCTATGCTATTTCCCCATGTATTTTAGTATATCTATCTTTTGACATCTGGACATTTTGTTTTTGTAGGTCACATCTGTCCTACACATCTAACCTAGGAGGAATTCACATACTAAGCCAGTGAAAGCAAGTTGTTCCAGGTCAGGTGGACTCACATCCTTGACCTTCCTGGGCACTTTCAGAAGACCCAGCTGACCTACTCAAATACACACCAGCAGCATCTAAGTCCCACAAGAATACAGATTACATGTAGGAGGTGATCTTCCATCTATCACTGAGTCTACACACTCACTCTACTTCCCAACCTGGATATCAAGCTAGTTCTTTAGTTTTCGGAATTCACCTTTTCATTGCCCAATGAACTATGTGGATGGCTTATCCTTGGTACTGACCACTAGGTGTGACTGGTCCCATGAACACAACTGAGGCATTCCATCTCTCTCACCAGGTGATGGAATCTGGCAGTCTCCATACTGCCTCATGCCTCATGTAGTTACTGAAAAATGGGAACCATTAAGAGGGTTTCCCAAACCACCTGAGGTTGAGTGGCATAAATTTCCTGATATGATGCTAAAAACCATACTCACTGGAGAAAACAGGAATATAAACTCATTTTAAAAACATGATACCATATAATATTTCAGGAGTAGGACTTGAGCAAAGCTGATCCAAAATTTTAATAAATTTTTGTCTTCTCATGCACGAAACCCAGCACCATGCCCTATGCCTTGCTCCCTGAATAAAAGCAAACATGAAGACGACTTACTGTAAACTGGATTTGGCAGCCACCCATGATGTAGTCCAAGAAAGAGTGCATCTTGTGGATCTGCATAGGAGGAGGAGAAGAAACCTGGTTAATAACAGCATGGTCTGCTTCCTGGTATAATGGAGGGCTAAACTTCGGGAATTGGCTGCTAAACCAGAGGAAAGAGCAGGAGGACATCTGTGGAAAAAAGATGGGTCAATTGATTTTGTTCTGATAAAGGAGAGTAAGAAAATAATGTCAATACAAATGGGCCTGTATGGGCTGCCAATATCCATTCCTTGCTCCCCTCTCTTTTCGTTTATGCATGATTTTAATTAGCTTCTGCCTTTGGGGTGAGACTGAAGCTATATTTTCAAAGGTCACTGCTGTTTTGAAATCAATATTGTCTTACATTTGAATTTGGTCTTGCTTCCCTGTGTCTCAGTCTCAGTCTTGGTAACATTCTTAATACACAAGTAATCTGATTGGCTGCTTCAAGATTACAATTGCCTGAGATGGGAATTTACTGACAATTTCTAGTTAGTTAGACCCCTACTCTGTGACTAGCATTTGTTGAGCACTTATTGTATACAAGTACTTAACATCTTTCAAATCATTTAGTTCTTGGAACGAGCCTGAGAAAGTGGTACAACTATTATTATTATACCCATGTAGTAAACCGAGGATATGATAACAACCCTCACTAATGGTAGAACGGAGACTCAAATGATGCAAGGACTTCTATGCTGGAAGTCAGTAGTCACTGCTTTCTGCCAACTGCTACCATCTGTATTCTCATGCTCTTTACTAATTTCTTGCCTTTATTTCTGCTTCTTTGTGATTTTGCTGTTTGGCTCTTGGCAATAGTCATTCATTCCATAAGTATTTATTGAACACTATGCTCTAGATCCTAGGAATATGGTGATTAAAGAAACAGACAAGGAGGCACATACAGTCCTGGAACTTATAGTCAGGATCCTTCTACTTAGATAGTTAATAATTATAAGATTCACTCCTCAGATTCCATTTAATCCTCAGGGAAGCTTCTCAGAGACTGATCCCCCCAAATATTGTGTTTGTCTCTCTAGCTATCACCTCCAGGTGGCAGAGAGCTACTGGAAGACTTCTCTCAGGGTTGATGTTCACTTGGCCCTCTCTTAGTGCCTACTCCTGGCTTTCTTATGGCAATGCTTTGCTTGATAGTTGAGACTCCCTACTCTGGGTCTGGATATCAAGGAAATAAGAATTTGGAGCTGAGTGACAGAACAGTAGGCTCTGAGCACTGAATTGTAAGATCAACTCAGAAGATCAGAACAGATATATGCCTAAACACCTTTAGAAGACAGATAACCATTGGATTGGTTAATATAAATCTTTTCTCCTGACTTTTTTGGTGGGAAAGGGAGACAGGGATAGTCACATGACTATCTGGAATGTACCCAGGATTTGGTTTGTACAGATATGATAGGTGCCTGACATGGAGACAACTGTCTTGGTAAGAAGAGTTTATTACTCACAGTCCCCAATGAATAAGAGGCATGTTGTGCCACACAGAGGTGTGGTGGAGCACATGGGGAAGCCTGAGGGTCAGTCAGGAAGCAGAATGAATTGGGGGAAGAAAGGAAAAGACATTTATTGTGGTTTTCACAGGAAGGAATGGATAAGATAGGGTAATCAGCTAAGCAGGCCTAGGATTGGATAGTATGTATAATTTTGGTAGGCTTTGAGACCTGTTTAAACCACAGGTGTGGTTTCTAGTTATCAGAAACCTGGCCCTGGGGTGCTATATCAGGAGAAATATTGACTAGGTATGAGAGAGTTTAATAAGGGAGATGGTTGGGGATATAGACTCCAGATTGGTTGGTTTGCATATCAAAGGCACACTAGAGGGCAAGGTGTTTACTAGCTCCCAGAATTAGCTAACTCTGGGAGGGCAATCCCTTCCCAGATCTACAAGGCCCAAGATTATCAATGAATCACAAAAAATAAAAAATTAAAAATATAATTAACAAAATGACCCCAGATGGCCAGTCATAATACACCATTCCCAAGTCTCAGTGATTGGTTCAAGGAGTGTGCATATAACCCAAGCTATATTAATCAGACCTTTCCTTTACTATCTTGTTAAGTAATGATGTGATCCTGTAGCTTTTGGCAGATAGTGAGAAGCCATTCTAGGAGAAGGAACCATATACAGTAGAATCTCCATAGCTGACATCCTCCTTACAATGACCACCTTAAGTTGACCTAATTTTCATAGACCAGATATGCACCACATGTACATATCAGTATGGTAGGCCTAGTTCCTATGTTGACTGGTTTGTTACAATCCCCTGGGTGGTCAACTTACAAAGGTTCTACTACAAACACACATACACATAAAATCTATACATATACGCTCTACATATGTATATAGTTGCTTAATGATGAAGACATATTTTGAGAAATGTATTGTTAGGTATTTCCATCATTATGCAAACATCATGGAGTATACTTACACAACCCTAGATGGTGTAACCTTACAGATAGACTATATGGTTAATAGTACAGCATGTTATTGTACTGAATGAATACTGTAGACAACTTTGAAACAATGGCAAGTATTTGTATACCTAAACATATCTAAATAAGAAAAAGGTACAGTAAAAGTATAATATAAAGGATAAAAAATAACTACGCCTGTATAGCGTGCTTACAATGAATAGAGCCTGCAAGAGTGGAAGCTGCTGTGGGTGAGTTGAGTACCAAGTGAATGTGAAGGCCTAGGACATTACTGTACACTACTATAGACTTTATGAACACTACACTTAGGATATACTAAATTTACTTAAAGTAATTACATTATGATGTTACAACAGCTACACTGTCACTAGGCAATAGGAATTTTCAGCTCCATTATAATCTTATGGGACTACCATCATATATGTGGTCCGTTGTTGACCATAATATTATCCAAGCATTTCTGTATATGTACATATATAAAGGTATGTACAGATGCTCCTGGACTTATAATGAGGTTATGTCCTGATAAGGTATGCCCTCATCTCTCTCTCTTTCTTAGTCCTCTGTATTCTCTGAGACATAATAATATTAAAATTAGGCCACTTAATAACTCTATAATAGGCTATAAGTGTTCACTTTAAACTAAAAGCCAGAAATGTTTATGCTTAGGGAGAAAGGCATGTCAAAAACCAAAATAGTCAAAAATCTAGCTGGGCCTCTTATGCCAAAGAACTAGCCAAGTAATGAATGCAAAGTAAAAGTTCTTAGAAGAAATTAAAACAGTGTACACAGGAATGATAAAAAAGCACAACAACCTTCTTGCTGATAGGGAAAGAATTTTAGCAGTCTGGATTGAAGATTAAACCAGCTATCACATTCCTTTTGGCCAAAGCCTAACCAGGGGTCCTCAACTACGGCCCACAGGCCATATGTGGCCTGCCAAGGACATTTATTGGGCCCACCAGGTGTTTTTGCCACCGCTGCCTGTCCTGGTAGCAGCCGACTTGTCCCGGGGCCCTCAGTCTGGCCCTCCAATAGTCTGAGGGACAGTGAACTGGCCCTCTGTTTAAAGAGTTTGAGGACCCCCTGGATAGCAAGACCTTAACTCTCTTCAATGCTATGAAGGCTGAGAGAGGTGAGGAAGCTACAGAAGAAAAGTTGGAATATGTGAGAGTAGTTCAGGTGGTTTAAGGAAAGAAGTCATTTCTAAAACATAAAAGTGCAAAGTGAGCAGCAAGTGATGATGGAGAAGCTGCAACAATATACCCGGAAGGTCTGGCTATGGTGAAGGTGGCTGTGCTAAACAGCAGTTTTCAAGGTAGGCAAAAAAGCCTTCTACTGGAAGTAGATGCCACCTAGGAATTTCACAAATAGAGAGGAGAAGCCAATGTCTGGCCTTAGAACATCAAAAGACACCTTGACTCTTTTGTTAGAGGTTAATGCAGCTGCTAACCCTAAGTTGAAGTCAACGATCTACCATTACAGAGATTGTTGGGCCCTTAAGCATTGTGCTAAATCTACTCTGCCTGTGCTTTATAAGAGAAACAAAACACAGATTGCAGGACATCTGTTTACAGCAGCGGTTCTCAACCTTCCTAATGCCGTGACCCTTTAATACAGTCTCGTGTTGTGGTAACCTCAACCACAAAATTATTTTCATTGTTACTTCATAACTGCAATTTTGCTACTGTTATGAATCGTGATGTAAATATCTGATATGCAAGATGTATTGTAAATATCTGATATGTCACTGTTACAAAGGGGTCACTACCCACTGGGAGCGCTGGTTTACAGCATGGTTTACTAAACATTTTAAGTTCATTTTTGAGACCTATTGCTCAGAAAAAAAGTTCCCTTTCAAAATATGCCTGCTCATTGATAATGAGCTCTGATGGAGATGTATAAGGAGATTGATGCTGTTTTCATGCCTATACCATAACATCTATTCTGCAGCCCAAGAAAAAAGCTCAGTTTTCAAGTCTTCTCATTTAAGAAATACATTTTGTGAGGTTATAGCTGCCATTGATAATAATTCCTCTGATAGGTGTGGGCAAGTAAATTGAGAACCTTTTGGAAAGAATTCATGATTCTAGATGTCGTTAGGAACATTCACGATCCAGGGAGGAGGTCAAAATGTCAACATTGACAGGAGTTTGGAAGAAGTCAATTTCAACCCTTATGAATGACTTTGAGCTGTTCGAGACTTTAGTGGAGACAGAAAATGCAAATGTAGTGGAAATAATGAGAGAACTAGAATTGAAAGTGGAGCCTGATGTGACTGAATTGTTATAATCTCTTGAGAAAACTCGAATGGATGAGAAGTTGGTTCTCATGAATGAGCAAAGAAAGTGGTTTCCCAAGACAGAATCTACTCCTGGTGAAGATGCTGTAAACATTGTTGAAATGACAACAAAGAATTTAGAATATTTCACGAACTTAGTTGACAAAGCAGGGGGGAAGTTTGACAGGGTTGACTCAATTTTGAAAGAAGTTCTACTGTGGGTAAAACAGCATTTTATACTACAGAGAAATCTTTCCTGAAAGGAGAAGTCAATCAATGCAGCAAACTTCACTGTTGTCTCAAATTGCTCTAGCTTGGCTTAGTGCCTGTAGCACAGTGGTTATGGCGCCAGCCACATACACTAAGACTGGCAGGTTTGAACCCAGGCCAGGCCTGCTAAAAAAGCAACAATGACAACTGCAACAAAAAATAGCCGGGTGTTGTGGTGGGCGCCTGTAGTCCTAGCTACTTTGGAGGCTGAGGTAAGATAATCGCTTAAGCCCAAGAGCTGGAGGTTGCTGTGAGCTGTGACGCCACAGCACTCTACTGTGAGGGCAACATAGTGAGACTCTGTCTCAAAAAAAAAAAAAAATTGCTCTAGCCATCCAACCTTCAGCAACCACCTCCAGCAGCCATTAACATCAAGGAAAGACTATCAGCAAAAAGCATTACAACTTGCTGAAAGCTCTCAAGTGATTGCTAGCATTTTTAAGCAATAAAGTATTTTTTAATTTAGGTATATACTTTTTTTAGACATAATACTATAGCACACTTAATAGACTACAGTGAAGTGTAAATGTAACTTTTATATGCATTGGAAAACCAAAATGTTTGTGTGACTCACTTTACCATGGTGGAACAGAACCCCAAATCTCTCTGAAGTATGTCTATATAAATAGGCATACATATGAAATATATTTAATATATATATACATATATATAAATGACATTTAAGTCCTAGATAGTGGAGTCAGAATGACATGGGTTAAAATATTTGCTCTTAAATTTACTATTTGTGTGACTCTGAGTTAGTTATATTACCTCATCTGAATGTAGAAATCTCAGGTTTATGATGAGTTAAATAGAGTTTCTTGCAGTCACTCTCACATAGTAAGCATTCAACTATTGGCAGAATTACTCTCAGATGTGATTTAAGATTTTGAATTATTATCACATGATTCTTTCTCTGCAAAGATGAAGCTCCTTTGGGAGGAAATTCTAGGCCCTTTTAAATCTTCCCCTGCAGTCTTGTTTTTATGGAAACCTTTGAGCAGGCCTAAGGTACCACATATTAAGAAAGGCACATAGTAGGTGTTCTCCCTCTGGAGCTGCCCTGAGAAGGAAAGATCCTGATCTGTGACCAGAACACTCTTTGTGGGGCAGGACTGTCCCTGAGCAGAGGATGGTGACATGAGGCTGCCACAGCTCCCAAACCACCCATTCTTACATTTCTTATTTTATGTCCATTAATACAGTGAATATTTTCTTTTTATTTTAAAAAGATAACATCTATTTGATACTCTTTTCCTTCGATTCCATCACCCAAATTCAGTGATTTCCAACTGAATGCCATGGAACAGTGATGTGCCAGGAAAGGATTTTAGGTGTACCATGAAAATTTTTAAAGATCATTAATTAAATTATTTTCAAGAGAAGTTCAAAAAATTAGTATATTCTCTCTTTGTTAACTCTTTTCTTTGAGCATCATAATTTAAGTGTGTTATGGAAGTTTAACTATAGGTTCAAGTGGACCATGAGATAAAAAGGTTGAAAAACACTGCCCAAATACTTCCTCCCAGTCAGCCCTAGTTTCATACTCCAGGAAGAGAAGGCTATGTACATACCTTGCACTGATTCAGAATCACAAGGCCTGAGTTCTTATAATTCTTCTTCTTGGCTTTGTACTTGGGATTGATGCACTCCCATTGCACCTGCAACAAGAAAGTTCTTAGAATGAGAATCTAATCAGGAAGACAGCAAGTCATTCAATGAGGCCAGGCTCCTGGGGACAAACTGAACTGGAGGACTGACAAATGGTCTCTCGGTGGTGACCCTCACATTTAGAGGAGCAACAACGGGGAGTGGTTTGAGAGTGTGACACTGGTATCGGACTTCATGGTGTGAATCCCAGCTCCTTCATTCCCCTGTAGTGTAAGTTTTGGCAAATTGCTTGAGTCCTCTGTGCTTTGACTATTTCTTCTGCAAAGTGGAGTTTATAGTTATATCTACCTCACAGGATTATTGTGAAGATTAAGTGGTTAATCCATGTAAATGAATTGAGAATATTTCCTGGTGTATATAAATATCTATTATTAATAGGGTCAAATCAATCAGCAGAGGGAAGAAGAAATCTGCAGAAATACAGCTGAGTGATGCCCAAGCACCAAGTCTTACTATTGTACCTGGGAACTGACTAAAAAGGTAGGAAAATCATGAAACATGGAACGCTGGCTACAGAAATATAATGGGGAAAATGATGAGTTTACAGAGAACTTCACTGAGAACTAAAATAATGGATTGATATATGTCACAGTGTGCTATAGCAGCGCTCCAAGGGAGCCTCTTTGAGGGATAGGATCAGAGCTAGACTGACCAAGAATTGGAAAGGCAGCTGTGACCTAAGGGACTAATTAGGAGAACAGGTCTCAACCTTTGCAGCATACAGAGGATTTCATGGACAAAATCAATGAGAGTCAAATATCCAAGAGTCATTGACTGTTGTGCCATCTTTTGGGAGCTGGATCTTTAGATTTCTATTCAAGAGACAAATTTCACTCCTGTTAGCAATACGTGAAAATGAAGCAGTTGCAGATGGGATAGTCTCTACAGTAGCAGCCCGAGAGTAATTCCTTCTTCTCAGTGTCCATGCATGTGTGTAGTTCATGTAGAAAGGGTCTGTTAGCAAGAGGGTTACCACTGTGGACAACCAGGGCTTAGACCTGCTGGGGAAGTCCACAAAGTCACCGAGAGCAGACATCTCTGAGTTTTGCCACCTGAAAGGCAAGGGAGCTGGGGCGCCTGTACTCCAGCTCCCATTAGTCATTTGTGGAGGGCTGCTTCCTAGAGGTGACCCATCTCCCCCACACTTCTAGCCTGCTTTGGGCATGGGCAAAGCAGGCTCCAGCAGCCAGAGAAAGCCCTCAGCCTCAATCTGCAAAGACATTGAGGTTCTGCAGCTGGAAATTGGGCAGCTGAACACTGAACAGGTAAGAGGAGAAGTAGCATGATTAGGACCGGGTGACAGTAACTTACTGATATATTGGTATTTGAAAGTGTGGGTGTCTGTGGAAAACGTGGAAGGGGTTTGTAATGCAATATTCTTTGTGGTATGTGGTACTGTTTGGGCACAAGCCTTGGTATAAATTATGTAAGAGTAAAATGGTAGAAATAGATGAAAACTTGGTGCCCATAATAAAAATTGGGAGGATTGGAGAGATTTCTCCAAGGCCTAAGTGTGTTCTGAACACCATCAAGTCATGGCAATGTAGAGCTGGCAGGAATACTTCTATCAATGGCAATTATTTTGGAAGGCTGGCTATATGGTAGTGGCTCCGCTAGTGTATGTCATGGATTGTCTAATTTAATAGTCACAGAATTCTATGATATAGGTACAATTATCACCCTCATATTTTAGGTTTTAGAAAAATTATACAAAGAGAGATTAAGTACTTTCCCAACCATACACAACTTTAAAAAATTAGAAATGTTTTCATCTAGGCTTTTTTACTGATGAAGGAACTATAGCCTTTGGAGGCAGTGTCTTGTCTAAGGTCACATAATGCTTTAGGTTGGGCTAGTTCTAGAATCTAAGACCTACTTGTAGAATCTAGGTACTCAAATGCCACCATGTTCCCCTCTTATCGCATTTAATCATTAATGTTTTGCCTCTGTTTCATTTGTAGCATGATGCAGAGTATCTGGGGCAAAACCACAAGTGGTTGCCTATGTACCTGTTTCCCTTCCATTGCTCCTCTCATCTCCTTGAATGTCGAGGTGAATTCCCCAATGAAGTCATGCTTGCCATTGGAGTCCCAGTCCCACACTATGCACTGCAAGAGAAAAGAAGTATTATTACTTTTTAAAAATTAAGAATGCAGCCATAGCAGCTGACAGTGGTGTGAACTCTGTGAGGAAGAGGGGACGATGGGTATTTGGTCTGCAACAAAAGACCAGGAGTCTGGGATTGCCACATGTGGGATGGACTGGCCCTTTGGCAATGACCTCGAAACAGTCCTATGATATAGCAGTGACTCTTATCATTTGCCCATTTTTCAGATAAGGCCAGTAAGACCCAAAGAAGATAAGTGACTTGCTGCAGTGAAAACCTAGTGAATGCAAACCTGGGACGTGAAGGCAGCGTCCTGCCCCCAAGTCCAGGTCTCTCCTCCCGTAGCAAATAGCCTCCTGTTTACAACCGGAATCAGATGCCTGAGTCCGGAGCTATAGCTCCCGCAGTAGCAGCGTCTGTTTAATGATTTGGATGGGGTCATATTAATCACATTTTCCTCTTTCTACTTTTTTCCAAAAGCAAAAGAACAATACCCCCCAAAAGAAAGTAAGAAGGCAAAAAAGTGCAATTCTTAAATGTATTCACACAGAAGATGGATGGAAGATGGTGACACAGAGGTTGCACTGGTAAATATCATGCACTCATCACACACAAGGTGCCACCAGTCACTTCTGAAAGGAGGACTCCTTTTAACAATGTGAAGGCTAAATTCTGGGCTCCCAAGTGACATTTTGTAGAGTGACCTGATTAAATCGGGAGCAATCTCTCTGCTTGGTCACATGTCTTGGTGAAGAGGAGGGTAGAGGCAGGAGTAGGGTTTGAAGCACTCTACATATCACTTTTACATCCTAAGCCAATGATTTGCAGCAAAGAAATTCCAGACCTCAAGAAAGACAAAGGCAGAAAAGGGGGCCTTTTACTCAGAGTTTCAATATTGGGATTCTAAGAGGCAGCCTGGTCCATTTTCAGGTTACAGATCCCAATATCCAGCCCTGCCTTGAAAAATCTGACTTGTAAATCTGTTCTCAGATCCTATGGGATGCCCCGGAGATCTACAGTAAAATGTGTCCAAAATGAAGCATAGATTTCCCCCAAAATTTATTCCTACTCGTTTAGTTTTTGTCACTGTGAATTGCATCAACATGTATGCAGTTGCTACAAACAGAAAACTGGGCATCTTTCCCACTGTTCCTCTCTTCCCTCCCCCTCCCCCACTGGGCCCTCTCCACTCTGTCTCCTAGATGTTGCTGGAGTGCAGCACTTCTCTCCACTCTTCCTGCTCCTCCCCACCTGCGTTCCTGGAGCGGTCTCCCAGCTTGTCTCCTTGCCTTTCTTGTACTCCTCTGTCTGCCTTAACCCACTAGTTATGGTTACTCCCCGCTTAAAGTCAAACTGTATAGTGGCTAAGAGGTCTTCCAAGATCTTTTACAACCTGACTCCCTCAATATTCCCAAATTCACACTTTATCATCCATGTTTACAATATTTTAAAGTTTATCTAATATGGAGTTGGTAGGAATGACAAGCATTTGCTGAGACTTTTTCTGATGCATTGTTAAGAGAAACTAATTTCTCAGCTTCTGCTCTCTCTTTCAATGTGGAGGATTTTGTTAGGTAATTAATGTTAGAAAACATTAAGAAGCCCTTTGAGTAGGAAAAAGCATGCATTAGAATAAGCCAGAATGGAATAGATGAAGAGAAAAGAGCTAAATTGCGCTGCTGAAAAACAGTAATGGTCAAGTTGAATTTTCTCTTTGGTAACTAGAGACACAGAGATAAGGGAGGGTTGAGAAGAAATTCGGGCAAGTTTCATCAAAAGAATGAAGAGAGACCTAGATTTGGGGTGGGAGGAGGGGCAGACAGGAAAAGAATTCTGGAATCTATGATGTCTAATTTTTAAGGTCAGGTTATTTATACATCTCTCTCCTCCATTCCTCCCTAACCTGCCCCTCTCCTATTAACCTGGTGAGCTGCCTATAAATCTGCCACCTACAACAGCATTATACTGATGATTGTGTCCTGTGGGAGTGGTTCTCAACCTGTGGGTCGTGACCCACAGGAAATGTATTAGGAAAGTTGAGAGCCACTGTCCTGTGGGGGAATAAGGGAGGGACTGTGTCCATGTTGAGGGGACTAGCAGACCAGAGAGTGGTCCCCATCAGTGACTGAGAAGCGAGTGGGGAGCAGGACTGTGAAGGGACAGAGTGACAGACGAATCCCAGGAGAAATACTATAAAGGGCTGTCAGTTCCCACGGTTACATAATATTAGAATTGGAGTTATTTTATTTAAAACTTTAAAAAAATTGATCCTAAAAACTCAAAGAATTACAAATAAAATTTATTTATAACCACTACTCAATTTACACTCACTTTTTGGGGATTATGCAGTCACTCAATTGGGAGCTGCTAAAAGGCACACAGAGGTCAGAAAATTCTTTTAATTAAAAAAAAAAATGACCCTTGAGCTTGTAAAGTCTACATTTAGTGCTGGGACTAAATATTTCTAGTTTTCCTTCTAATCGTCTAGTAGGATTATATTTCTTTGTCCCTATAGGTTTGGCTGTGGCCATGTGACTTGTATTGGCTAATGAAATACAAGTAAGAACGAGCTGAGTCACTTTCAGGTGGAAACTTGAAGAGCTGGAGCTTGATTTGCATGTTTTATCACTTCCACTATTTTGGTGATCACCAGTATTCCTAATTGGTAGCTGTTCTGCCCACCTGAGTCCTTAAGTGAGGATAATGTAGAGCTCCAGATGACCCACGATGGTCATCTGTGTATACAAGAAAGAAAGGTATTGTTTTCAGCTACTGAGATCACTACAGCATAACCCAATCTGAGAGCTATTTTAAGTACTTAAAACACTGTCATAGGAAAAGGCATCACAACTTACTTGGTCTGTCTCCAAAAGTGTGACAAACAGAATTTCAAGAGGAGATTACAAAGAAGTAACAAAGAAAGCATTTTCCAACAAACCTGTTCAAAAATAGAATAATCGGTTTGTAAAAGAATGTTTCTACTGCTGGAAATGTTCAGGAGGAAACTACAGGACCACATGCAAAAAATGTAGTAGAGAAAGTCAAGTGGTGAAAGGTATAAAGAATTTGGTAGGCAGTTTTAAAACTGTCTTCTAACTTGGAGATGCTACGATTAGTTCTAGTTGCGGGGTGTAAAATAAAGTCAATGAAAGGCTTAGCTTGCTCTGGTAGGAATGCTCTGCAGGGCAAGATAGCTTCTGTAGGAGTGATAAAAACCCCTTTTAAATTCAAGGTAGGATGAAGTTCTGCCTCACTCTCTCCAATGGGCAGGAGAACAAGTCAATGATTCAGTCATTTGGAAAAACTGTTCAGGATGTACATTGCGATCACCGTGTCACGGAACACAGAGGACTGAGCTGCTGTTCAAACCAGGTGTTTTTCTCTCTGTTTGCCAGCCCCTCCTCATTGACCTTGACGCTCACACATTTCTTACCAGGAGCCAGAAACAGAAGTGAGTTTGCTGGGCATAGAAAGAGAAAGAAGGGTGGCTTTTGGGACTCTGTCTTTGAGACTTGGCACTCTGCCTGGTGGTAAATACAGCCCACTGAACACCTGAGTCTGACACTCTGACACTCTTCCCTGTTTGAGAGAAGCAAATAAAAAGGAAAAGGGGCAGAAACAAATGAGAGAAAAGGAAGAACTGGAAGCAGCCTTTTTAATCTTCTCTTCCTTTGTGGAAGAGAATAGGAGTCCCCTGAAGAACTCCTATAAACCAGACATTCGTCACTCTTTCTTTGCCCTCTTGGATCTCCTATCATGCTTTGGTTAATCACTGTCCCTCCCGAACCTGCCATGGCCTTCAACTTGGTGTTTGTAAAGTGCTCTCTGGCTGGGGCAGAAAGGGTATGACCACCATCCACGAGTCTGACCGACAGACTCCAGTCAGGGCCTCCTGGCAGCAGGTAGCACTGTTTACAAAAGCCCTTCCCCACAATCTGCTGGCATACTTCATCCTGGCAGTTGCAGGATTTTGTTTTGACCTTTCTGAGATGGGATCCCAAAGGAAGTAAGTCATGGCAAAGCAGACAAATAAAAACACCGTCTTTCCTTCTCTCCCTGCCATGAAGCTGGTTCATGACAACTGTGATGCAGCTGACAGAGGAGTACATCTTGGTGAGAAGTAAACAGATCAGTCACTCTGCAGTATAACTGAGACAGGCACAATTCTTGGTATGAATTAATAAGGAAGCCTTGCCGTATCTGTGAGAACTCAGAATCTCAAAACTATCTGTACTTCAGGTGGCCTTCTTAAGAAGTGGCCACCTTCTTTCTCTTTCTATGTCCAGGCCCAGCAACTCACTTCTGTTTCTGGCTCCTGGTGAGAAATGTGTGAGTGTCAGGGTACAACTGATGGAGCAGTTTAGGTTTAGAGTCTTCAAATGTGTAAGCTCAGCAGACACGATCTAGTAAACTCCCTCATTTTACAGAAAGAAATTTGATGGCAGAGAAATAACTTCCACAAGTTCACTCGACATAGGGGGACAGTACCCCAGGTTTCCTGCCTCCCTGATTTCACTACTAACACACAACAGAGAATATAATAGTTAAAAACTACATTGTGCTTACTACAACGCAGATGTTGTTCTGAGTACTTCATACACATCAACTCAAACCACAGAAAAACAGTATTAGGCTTATTTTACAGACAAGGAAACTGAGGCACAGAAAAGTGAGGTAACTTCTCCAAAACAACACAGCTAACACTAGGTAATCATTGAACTATTGTCTGACCTGAGCATAGAACCCTGGCCATTTATGTTTATGGTCTTTAATTCCTTATAATAACCCTAAAATGATGATATTGTTACCATTTACAGGTGATTGCCATTCACAGGTGCCATTTACAGGCTTAGAGAAGGTATATGACTAGGCTAGACATCTAGTAAATGACAAAGATGGCCTTGAACCCAGGTGTCTGATATCACAGCTGATACATTTTTTGTTATGCCATACTGATTCTTAGTGGAAGCTGGAATTGAGAATCAAAGTCTCCTAAGTCCA